ATCCATGAACGTAGGTTGATTAGACCGAACCACGTTAAATTGTTGTCTCTTGTGTGTTTAATTTATTGTTTGATTTCGCTTTCGTTGGTGTGATTGGATTGGAGGCTTTTAGCCCAACAAGATCTGTTTCTATTTCCATTCCAATACTCAGGTTCACAAATAGCTGAGTTGAATGCCAGTAATACCTTATTATTACTTTTTTAGTTTTGCATATATTATCTTCTACATATATACATTCAGGTTCATAATCCCTGCATCTCTGCTCTTATCCAGGATGTTCTATACCAAACCTCACAAATCTTCAGGGTAACCTGCTTGCTAGTTTCGAAACCATCGTGACTGAAGGAAGCGACAAAGTTAATTACTTTATACAGCTGCCAGTGAACAGACCGTCAAGAGTTCAATAGATAAGAGCAGGCTTCCCCATACCAGATTGTATGTACAATGGGTGGACGATGGCTTTTTTTTCTGTGGTTTAATACTAGTCTTCATTTCGTAGTCATATCATGTAACCAGATACATATGGATGTGTCTCAGGAATTACAAAAGGCAGGTTTTCGATGTAGAGGTATAAGCGCCTCAAGTTCTCTTTTGCAAGAGTAACCATGTCAATTATATCATTGCAACTTGTGAGAACCCACAGATCTTCAGAACTCACTCTCTTTAAACTATCGCGGCAGAAAGGGCAGGATTGAGAACGGGAATTCCTACAATTCCAAATCAATGTACAGATCAAGGTTAAGTAAAATGTTTAATCATAAGTAATCTAAAAAAAACAACATGAATAGCAAAAAGGGGAACCAAGGATACCAGTCATGGAAGCAGCTTATGCATAAGGCATGCCCACAGTTAGGCAGAACCATCTTTGTGCAATTCTCCATGCATATTCCACATTCATCATCTCTCTCTAAATCTTTATCAGAAACCCTCTTGCGATCTTCAACTCTCTTTCTGCTCAAAACTTCTGTGCATTGGCCTTTCTTATTATCTTCCAATTCAATGAACTCATCTCCAAGTTGTCTGAGCAAAGGGTAAATAACAGCTGCGAATAGTGTCCAGTAAGTGCATTGGAACATGAGGAAGTAAAAGGAAAGCTGAAGAAGCAAATTGCAATTCTATTACCAAGAAACACCAGAGAAAACATACCGTAAAATTCCCTTAGAGTGGCTTTTCTATCTTTCGAGGATAGAGCTGGCATTCCATCGACATATGCCTGGGCCAATATTATGAAACCTTGTTTAAATAACAAACTCAAAATCAAATTGACAAAAATAACAATAGTAACTCACCTGATTAATTCCTTTTTCTGCTTGGAATGTTGCAAAATGAAAAAAAAAAAAAAAAAAAAAGAGAAGCTGAAACTAAAACTAACCTTGCATACAAGTATGTGGAGAAGGCCTAAATAACTAGGAAGGGTATCTGTACAACTATAATCCATCCATTCAATCAAAAACAGGATGTAGGGAAGGGACTATAACATAATCTCATTTGGTAACAATTCCTACCATAATCTCTTGGTAGAGCAGCTGCCCTGAAAATTTCACCCCAAAAAATAACATTAAAATTCTTCGAGGTAAAACAACTAATAAGTAATGAAATTCTTCAAGGTAAAACACTGATACGAAAAGCCAAAGCAATCATTTTCCTTTCATCTCCACAAACCAGAATTGATATCCAACTTCAGCAAAGTTGGCCTTTTGATGATAAAATTCAACCAAAGCATCACAACGAAACAGAATAAAGCAGGCAATGGAATTCCCAGAAACAGAAACTAAGCAGAAAGAATCTCGCATTTCAGGACAAATCAAGAGTGCAAAAGGGTTGTGAAGAAATGGACTTTATGCACCATAATATACCATTTGTGGATAAAGATTATGAATTTGTAAATGCAACTCCATCAATTTGCCAAAAAGACTTACAGGCTATTAGCATGCTGTATATCAGCTTCAAGAGCTTTCAGAGATTCCCTAAAAGAAGATTTATTGTGCTGTTTTTGAAACATTGATTCTCCCTTTTTTGTGATATGTATGAGACAAAAGGTAGGGGAAAAACAAAAAAACAAAAAGGGAGGGGGCGCAAGGATGATAAAAAGGACTGGCCTTTGTGGTGGAGTGGTTTTTTGGTTTGTTAACGGAATAATGGAATTTGGTAGACAGGACTCACGTAGGAGAATTTAAAAGAGAGAGAGAGAGAGAGAGAGAGAGCTTGCTTAGTGTCCAAAGCTTTCACATTTCAAGCAAAGAAAGGGATACCTTCTCACTCTAATGAATCTTTTCTTTGCCGTCATTATTTTCTCAACTGCACTTTTGGGGCTGGCATTATCCTCCCAAGTCTGACTTTGCCTACTAGTTGGCTCCTAATAATTATTTCTTATCTAGAATCAGTATTGTTACAAACTTTTTTTTTTTTTATATTCTAAATTGTCAAATTTTGATTTTTATTAGTGGAATGAAAAGTTTAACACTTTATCCACATATTATTGGCTACAAACATAAATTGGAAAATAGAAAAAAGAAAAGAAAAGAAGTAAAGCTGGTAGAGATTAAATAAGTATTAGTTAATCAGAACATTCATGAAAAATATGGAAAAAATTGCAGGCTAAAGGAATCAATCATGCAGGCCCATCCATTGTTCTGGTCTAGGCTTACAATGACCCTGTTATGTTTAGTTCAAAGCCAGAACCACATGGACCAGCCCTCTGGCCTAGTGATTACAGATAAAAGTTTTTATAAAAGTCTGAAATTACACTATGATGATGATCAATCAGCATTCAGCACATGAGGGTCACTCTTACAAAGTTGGTTTCCTCTCGATATGAAAATGATATTCTGATATATAGAATGAAGTAGTTTTGTATACCCAATTGAAACTTGAGAGAGGTCCATTCAGAGGGGAATGTGGAGGCCCTGGTAGCAATGATTTCAACTGAGGCATTTCACCTAATCAGTTGGCCTACTGGGTCCTTCTCCATAAATAAAAGGAACATGTACGTTTTTCTGAAGGTGATGGGTTGAATGCTATGTGCTTGGAGTGTAGGGGGCCGTTCTAGGGAACCGACACTGCAGTTAATAGGTTCTGTTGTTGTGTTGTTGTCCTTCTGGAATCCCTGTCCTTTTTTCTGTTCTTTTGTTCTTCAGAGAATCAGAGTTTCGCTCTCTTCTCTTTCCCCCTCCCTTTTCTGACAGGGGGGAATGAAAAGAAACCGGTAAATGGCAGTGATATTGATGATTCAAAGTTTGGGCTTCGGGTCCATGGAGCCTTCAGCACATATATTAGAAGCATTTTGGCCTCTTGGGTTCTCATGGAATCCAATTCACTTGTGATTTTAGTTAATGCATTGCATAAAAAGAGAAAAGAACTCAGAGTTTAATTCAGAATCATGTAATAAAAAAATATTTAATAAATTTTAATAATTATAATTTTTCTTATATCTTTTAAAATTATAGACTCCTTTATAAAAAAAAAAATTCAGAACTGAACGTACCAAAAAAAAAAAAAAAAAACCACTTCAACTAATGCCTATTTTGGGGCAAGCCGCTTAAGTTACCTCGTAAATCCTGAACTTCAATTCTTAAACCACGGAGGCCCGCTTTTTCCGGTTTGGACAAAGACAACTTGTGGTCCAGACAAGAGGCTACTGATTACTTAATTAATTAGTTAATGGGGCCCTTTGAGATTGCGTATTGCATCGCCTCCCAATACAAAATTAAACATCTGTGCTCATCGTTTTTCTCCCCTGTAACATAAAACAGTTCGCGCCCCTTTTTTATTATTTACTTTTAAATTTGATAATTCGATTATTATATTATATTTATTTTACATCAAATATTTATAAAATATAAAAATTATTTTTTGCATTTGATATTGATGCACTAAATATAAAATATATTTTTTAATTTTATCAAATTTATATATAATTTTATTAAAATTTTAAACAATATCAATTTTATTTTCTCATCGTACTTAAAATTATTAAATTTTCTGTTAAGTGTTGCCTTTTTTTTTTTTTTTTTTACAATTGTACAAAAATTTGACATTTTCCAAGAACTTGCCTTTTTTGTTCCTTTGTTACTGTTAATTCATGAGTTTGAATAGTGTAGACAGAAGATGTGAGTACATTTGTGGTAAGAAATTTCGCAGTAACTTTGTTGTAACTATCAAATATCTTAATAGTTACCAATAACATTAGTGATAAATAATTCGATTTTTTTAAAATAAAATATTAATTTTAAATTTTATAAATAAAAAAAACAAATTTGAAAGAATTTTTTTTATAAGATTCTATTCAATTTTATATTAAATAAAAATCAAAATGATTATCGGATATCTTAAACCAAATATATATATATATATTAGTATATATATATATATATTTTAACAGTTAACAATAGCTATTGATTCCAATTAAAAAAAGTAGCTATTGACAATACAACATTTTTGGGGCTCAATTCCTTTTAGGAAATGAAATATCATAGGGTTCAATTTGGAATTTTTTAATTTTAATTTTAATTTTAGGAATAAGTATAAATTAAGGTGATAAAGGATTAGGTTCAGATTTTTTTTAAAAATTTAGTTAGTTTAAATTCATTTTAAATTTTATATAAGATGTAATTGTTTCAAATCTAATTTCGTAATTAAGTCACTTCAAATTTAAATTATTTTGAATTCAAAATTTTTTAAACAAAATTTGAGGTTCGAGTTTATTTTCCAACACCAATAGGAATACCTTTCTTTATAGAATTATTAAAGTAAAAAAAAATACAATAATATTTAAATATTATAAAAATAATGAATTAAATGAAATGGACATACCAACTAATCAATAAACAATCATATAATCGGATAAATCAAACATAAATGCACTAAGCTAACAGGCCATGGAAAAATCGTAGAAAGTCACGGGTCAAATCAAAATCCAGATTTACTGGAGGGAAAACCAATCCTTGAAAAAAATAATTGCATAATTGGAGGTATCCAGCTGTGAAAATAAGAATTTGATTAAGTTAAGCCATATGAATTACGATAGAAATGGGGACCCAACTTGGAAACTATGTTTGCATGAAAGGAAATTTCATCTTTCATACTTTTCCCAAAGCTTGAAAAGCTGCAGACAAGTTGGGGCCTAAGGGTCATGAAAAGAGTATCTTGGTTGGCAAAAAGCAAAAGCAAAAGCAAAATTAAAGTAAAGATCGTAATTTAAAGGGTTAATAATAGTAATCTCTCCTCACTGCCACGATGCTTCATTGCCTCACTTGTACTTTCTTTTCAGATGCTTTTTGCATGGCCAACCTCCTCTCTCCAATCTCTATCCGCCTCGATCGGCCATTAATATATACTATAGTATTTTTTTTAATTACTATAGTTAATATAAGTTGTAAAACACAAGGTTAGCTTTTTCTTGGGGTTGATATATATTCGTACCAAAATAGTGTTGTCATAGGTGTGGTGAAATCCAAGCTTCTCCCTTAATAGTTTAATTTATTTTTATTCTTTAATTATTTTTCTTAAGCAAAGATGAAATGGTTTCTTTTATTGTGATTTGTATTAAGGAAATTGGTCAAAGTTGAGTCTCATCCGTCAACCTTTTGTAATAAATTATCCTGCACGGTCGTTGGATATCTTTATGAGAATAGGAAGAGATTAAAGTTCAAAAGCAACAAGGTTGATTTGTGTACCTTTTTCTGGTTGAGCTTATGTCACAATCTTTCTTTATATTTGTTTTTTTTTTTCTGAAAAGTAAGCATGAAATCTTTATTTCTTGGGAAAAGGAGATTCCAAAATCAAAGAAATTTAAAAAAAAGAAGGAAAGAAAAAGAAAACAAACGTGAATGAACATTGCACCAAGTCATCAATCAGAAAAAAAGTGAAAGTTTAGTGGCGTGAAGATGGGTTAGATGCTGAAACTCCAATCCACAGTTTCTTTCTTTTATCATTTAGTGAAAAATTATAAGCCTGAAAAGAAAAAGATCAAAAGAATCAGTTTTGCCTTCCTGATCTTCAATGGCTTTATTTACACAGTTACTTGTTCTACATCTCTACTTAATATCCGCTGTTCTGTCGCAGGTTACAGGTATGTTTTGTTACTAAATCTGTGAATTCATGGAGTTCCAGGATTGATTGCCAAGTTACAGATATGTAATATGAAAGTAGAGCTTGCATTTATAACTAGAAAAGTCATTTGTCATGTAATATGAGTTAAAAATTAGGTAAAAAATCTGAGAAATGATGCCAAAATGAACTCAAATTTGTATATTGCCAACAAGCCGATTTGTTGGTAGAGTGCAAAATGTCAAATCCTGGCAGCTTTAAGTAAAAAAAACTCAAATTTGTATATTATTTGTGTGTTTTTAATGCTATCATCATAATTTGATTCTGCCCTGCAGAGTTTATCAGTATTGATTGTGGAAGCACAAGTAACTACACTGATCCGAGTACTGGACTGGGATGGAGTTCTGATATGGATATCATGAAATATGGAAAACTTGTACAAGTAGAAAATCCCAATGGAAACTGGATGCAGTATCGAACTCGAAGAGACTTTCCTTCAGACAACAAGAAGTACTGTTACAATTTAAGTACCAAGGAGAGAAGGCGGTACCTAGTTCGAGCAACATTTCTGTATGGCAGCCCTGAAAATGAAGATGCATATCCAAAATTTGAGCTTTACTTAGACGCAACTGAGTGGGCAACTGTGATAATTCAGGATGCATCGAGAATATACGTGCATGAAATGATCATCAGGGCTCCCTCAGATTCTATTGATGTTTGCACATGCTGTGCAACAACCGGTTCCCCTTTCATATCCACTCTTGAGCTCCGCCCCTTGAATCTGTCTATGTATGCCACAGATTATGAGGATAATTTCTTTTTAGACGTTGCAGCTAGAGTGAACTTTGGTGCTTTAACTAAGGATGTAGTGAGGTAAGTATCCTCTGCCTGACAACAGGCTAAACTGAATATATTTGATGGCATCAGTGCTAATAATAAAAAATGGACTTCACATTTACAGGTACCCAGATGATCCTTATGACAGAATTTGGGAATCTGATCTTGATAGGAGACAAAATTTTCTTGTGGATGTGGCCCCTGGAACAGAAAGAATCAGGACGTCAAAGAACATTGATACAAGGACTAGAGAATATCCACCTGTTAAAGTAATGCAAACAGCAGTTGTTGGCACTGAAGGAGAGCTCAGCTACAGACTAAACCTGGAAGGTTTCCCGGCCAATGCTCGAGCCTATGCATTCTTTGCTGAAATTGAAGACTTGGCTCCCGATGAAACCCGGAAATTCAGACTGCGAGAGCCTTATGTACCTGACTATAGCAATGCTGTGGTAAATATAGCTGAGAATGCCAATGGGAGCTACAGACTTTATGAGCCCAGTTACATGAACGTCAGTCTGAATTTCGTTCTGTCATTCATGTTTTCCAAGACCAATGATTCTACTAGAGGACCACTCCTTAATGCAATTGAGATAAGTAAATACCAGCAGATTGCTGCAAAGACTGATAGACGAGATGGTAAGACGACCTTTGGCGTGTTCTGATTTTATAAACCTTTTTGTAGCTGTTTGCCAGCTGTAGTGGAGAGATTAATTTGGCAATGAAAAATCACATTTTGATCATATTGCACGTTAGCATGTATAGTCAAGGAATTTGCTTCACAAGATGAGCTAATGACTCGTTATTTCTTCAATTGCCAGTGACTGCTCTCAATGCCATTCGCTATATGTCTGCTGAAAACATTTGGGCAAATGAAGGAGGTGATCCTTGTGTTCCAGCTCCTTGGGAATGGGTACATTGTAGCTCAACTCCACCACCAAGAATAACAAAAATGTAATGCATTTACTGTTGGTAAATTTGTTGTTCATTTCAGAACTTAGTACACTTAACTGCATATCTTTGATTATCAATACAGCCTTGTTACTTCTTATTAGACTGGTCATTCTACTCTTCAGAGAATTTGATGGATTATTGAACTTGAAATAATACTTACCATGATTTGATAATTCATCATGTTTTCCTTTGGCAAGAATTAGGGGTTGAGCAAGTTCATTAGATATGCTGGTAAAAAGTACTTCATGTGTTAAATATTGAAAGCACAGAAGACTAAGAATTATCAATGTAAGAGTTATGTTATGCAGAAATTAATTATACTAACCTGATGAACAGTGCACTGTCAGGACAGAATCTGGAAGGCCAAATTCCCACTGAGTTTAATCACATGCAGGGATTAACTGAGTTGTAAGTGCTATTGTTCAACTTCTAAGACAATTTTCAGGAATTTATCCGATTACAATTCACTGGAAAGCTCTCATCTTGTTTAGGTGGTTGGACTCCAACTCCTTAACAGGGTCACTCCCCGATATGAGTAGCCTTATCAATCTGAAAATTGTGTAAGCTCTTCACTTTATGGTATACAATTGCGCTAAATTTCCTCAGGAATTCAGGATTGGGATTTCACCAATGTACTTGTTCTATTGTGAGCTTCTAATGGAAAGGGACTGGTTTCTGACTTGCATCCTTTACCTTGCATGCAGACATCTGGAGAACAATAAACTTACCGGTCCACTACCTTCCTACCTTGGTCGTTTGCCTAACTTGAAAGAATTGTACGCAGAAATCTGATTTTCTAGCTCATATTTCTGGATCATTTAACAGAAGTAGATAGTTTGTTTTTCACAAACGTTAATAGAAGCTGACAGTTTAGGGTTGTTTTCCTGATACATCTATTCCAAAGCTTCAGTAACAAGGGAATCTTTATGTTGCAGGTACATACAGAACAACTCTTTTTCTGGGGAAATACCTCCACTACTGCTAAGCAGGAAAATAATTTTCAAGTGAGTATGTTGTTGTCTTAAGATCCAGCAATGCGGTCCTTATTTGAGAAGTGGTTTGCCTTTTCCATTTTAGTAGATAAAAAACCATAATTATTTATAGTTGCAAAGAATTAAATGTTCCTAGTGTCATGTTACATCTGCATCAGAAGCACTGTATATGAGTCTAATGATAAGCTGATAAAAGAATATCGGCATCTTAAATTCTTTAATGCTTATGATCTCAACACATACATGCAACAATTCATAAGTATAAATAACTTGCAAAACTATTTTAAATAAAAAAGAGCTGAACTCTTTTGGAATTGAATTGCATCAACAAATGATGATGGCATGATGCCCTTTACTCAGTATGACACTAAATACTGCATTAGTGCTGCTGAAAGACTTTAGGGCAAGGAGATCGCTACTGTAATATACCATTTTAGGAATTATAATCCTAGCATCATAATTACATTAAGTAAAATTTTTAAAGGAAGAGCAGAAAAAAAGCGGTTTTGTGTAATCCAGTACACAAAATTTATAAACAGCTATATGTCTTCTGTTGCAGCTATGAAGGTAATCCTGGACTACATAATGAGGCACAGAGAAAAATGCATTTTAAGTTGATACTTGGAACCTCAATAGGAGTGCTAGCAGTTCTATTAGTTCTTTTCTTGGGAAGTTTAATATTGTTGCGCAATCTTCGAAGGAAGATGTCTCACCGGAAATGTGATGAAAATGGTGTGTGCACTCAATTACTCACTGTTCATCAGTATGAATGTGCAGACATTAACATTTCCAATATGATTCTTGTTTTATCAGGTAATTCCCTGCACACTAGCACCAAACCTTCAACAGCCAATTCAGTGGCAAGGGGTGGGCATTTACTTGATGAAGGTGTGGCATACTATATCCCACTATCTGAGCTAGAAGAAGCAACTAACAATTTTACCAAAAAGATTGGCAAAGGAAGTTTTGGATCTGTCTACTATGGCAAAATGAAAGATGGAAAAGAGGTAGCAGTCAAGACAATGGGTGATTCATCTAGCCACTTGAATAAGCAATTTGTGACCGAGGTACTGTCCCATTTAGCTATGTTCTTCAACCTTTCTTTACATATGCAGATTATAGAAACCTATAATTTGATGGAATGATCTTTTGTCCTGAAGTAAAATGCTCTATCAGCAAGTGGTGTAAATATTGGATGATTAAGGAAATAATTTAAAGAATTCAATCTAAAACTAATGCTTCTATCCTATCAGAAATAAAAATAAAATAAGTTACTTCACACTACATGGTTAAGTGACGACCGAAACATGCTTGCAGGTTGCCCTCTTATCAAGAATTCATCATAGAAACTTGGTTCCTCTAATTGGATACTGTGAAGAAGCACATCAACGGATATTAGTTTATGAATATATGCATAATGGAACTTTGCGGGATCACATACATGGTCTGCATCTCTTCCAAGAAATCAATCTGTTTATCTTCCAGTTTTCTCTTTTTCAGAAGCTCAGTGTGGTAAAGAACAATTAAGAACCTATGGTTATGATGGCAGGTTCAGTAAACCAGAAGCCCTTGGACTGGCTTGCTCGTTTACAAATTGCAGAAGATGCAGCTAAAGGTTTGGTATTGAAGTTCTCATTTATTGGTGCATTAGTATCTAGTTTTTAAGTATAAAAATAAATTTAGATTTATGTAGGCCTTGAATACTTGCACACCGGCTGCAGTCCCAGTATCATTCACCGAGATGTAAAAACAAGCAACATTCTCCTAGACATCAATATGAGAGCAAAAGTGTCAGATTTTGGACTTTCAAGGCAAGCTGAAGAAGACTTAACCCATGTATCAAGTGTGGCTCGAGGAACAGTCGGCTATCTTGATCCTGAGTAAGCTACATACAATTACCATTCATAAACAATTATTAAAATTTTTCTTCTTCATGTGCTAAGCTTAGCTAATCATTAATATGTTGTAACAGGTACTATGCAAGTCAACAATTGACTGAAAAGAGTGATGTTTACAGTTTTGGGGTTGTTCTTCTGGAACTTATCTCAGGAAAAAAGCCAGTATCAGTAGAAGATTTTGGTGCTGAATTGAACATTGTTCACTGGGTACACTTCTCTGCAGCTTTCTTACATTTCATAGATTTGTGGTGCTGAATTGAAGCACAAAGCCTGAGCTCTTTGTTCTTTTACAGGCAAGATCCTTAATACGAAAAGGCGATGTGATAAGCATTGTTGATCCATTTCTGGTCGGAAATGTCAAAATTGAGTCTATTTGGAGGATTGCTGAAGTGGCCGTCCAATGTGTTGAGCAACATGGATACTCCCGCCCCAGGATGCAGGAAATAATTTTGGCCATACAAGATGCAATCAAGATAGAAAAAGGGAATGAAGGCAATCCAAAATTGGCTCCTGGTAGTTCCAGGGGACAATCTTCTAGGAAAACTCTACTAGCAAGCTTTCTTGAAATTGAGAGCCCTGATTTATCAAAAGACTGCCTGGTCCCATCTGCTAGATGATTTTGTAACACACCTGCTGACATTTTTTGAGTATCATGATATCAGTGTCGTTTACTACATACTTAGCATGTATATTTGGAATGTAACAACTGTAACATAGGCTTACTGCTTTTAGGAAATCTCGCCTTTTACACTGCTTATGCAAAACAAGATGGAAATAGAAGAGTTGCTTATACAATAGTTAGCATGTATAATTGGATTTGAAATGTTTTTAAATAAATTATCTCAAGTGGAAAATTTTTTTATCTTTTACCAACCTTATGTATAAAGCAAGATATTGACAAACAGATAATATTAATAATTACACACTAATTAAATTAAAAAAAGTATTTCTTTGTAAATTTTTAAATTTTACAAATGAAATTAAATTACCATGATGAAACATTTATTTATATTAAAAAATAAAATATTTATTAATCTTGTAATTACATTTATGAAGTTTAACAATTTCATTGACTGTTTACTCAAAGAGAACTCTAAATCCAGGTCACTAATCAATTTTATTTTGCACTAAATTAGCATGTCAGCTGAAGATTTTGAGTAGGATATTAAACAAATTCTATTTGTTTTCAAATTTTAAACACAGTTCAAACTAAAATATAATTTGACTATAAATTTTGGGGTTTTAAGATTTCGTTTGAATCAGAATTCTAACTGTCAAAAAATTATTTAAAAACACCGCCTTTTTTTTTTTTATCTAAATAAATTATTCAGTAGTTGATCATGATCATATAAGATATTGACACAACAATTATAATTATGATCATATAATAAAAAACCCACATAAGATATTGTCACAACAATTATAATTATGATCAAATAATAAAAAAACAGTTGTACGATCATCATATTAATTGTTAATCTGATTATTTTATGACTAATAAAAAAGGAAAAAAATGCAAGAAAAGCAATGATTAATAAGAACAAAAGAAAAAAAAATGAGGGCATCCCTAACTAAACAATACATCATAGAGATAAACGCATTTTTTATGAGTATTCTTCTCTTCTTTTTTTTTTTTTTTTCTTTTTTGTTTTCTCTACCCATAAAAATTTAAACAACAAAACCAAACCCAGAGAAAAGAATTATTATTAGTATAATAACAACTATTTTATTTCTTGTTGTATGATTGTTAGTAGTATGTTTTTATAATCACAGAAAGCATAAAAAGGGAGAAGAAAACGACCCTTTTTTTATCTTGTTCTCTCTTACTTTCTGTTGTCTTTGGGGCATTTGGAAGACCCAGTTGCACATCTTTGAACATCATAGTACCCTGACAAAGGTTTCTTTGTTCCTCTGAGTCGTTGTTTCCTTTTTTTTTTTTTTTGTTAAGAGAAACAGAGAGAGAGACAGAGAGAGAGAGAGAGAGAGAGAGAGAGAGATGGGGATGATGTATTATCAGTTGTACAAGTCATCTTATCATGACTCTTTGAAAATACTAGAGGCCGATATACAACATGCAAATGCTTTGTAAATTTTCTTTTCTGGGTTTTTAGTTTTCTGGGAAATTTAGTTTTTTTTTTTTAATTTTTAAAAAATTTTCCCTCTCCAATCAGTGGGTTGTTGATTTGTTGTTTCTTTCTATTAGTTGCTTGGGGTGCTTTTGATGATCACGATCAAAAAGTTTAATTGTTTAGCTGTTCAGCTGGTTGTGAAAAAAAATAATAAAAAGAAAAATTACCAGTTTGGAATTTTATGTTGTTCTTTGCACTTTGTCCTGAACTTTGGTTGTCCTGGTGATATTGTTGTGCTCTGACTGGGAATTTGTAGTACAACAAATTGCAGATTTTTTAGCACATGGTCTAGAATTGTAAATTGTCAGCCTAGCAATTCTTATACCTCTCTGCCTACTTGCTGGACTTGTTGGTGGTTTGATGTTTCTTAGCTGATAGGAACTAACATTGTTGTTTGAATTAAGGAGATGGGAGGGAAAGGAAAGTAAAGGATAGTGGTATATTAATATTTGCATGTTTAACATAGGATTTTACTTATAAAAAAAAAATATTGGGTAGTTTGGCATTTTTATTCTTTGGTCTAACTTAAGGTCATTATGTTGCTTGGATGCTTAGTTTAGAATGTAATTTAGATGTCTTCCTTTTAATTCTTCTAAGCAAAATTTAATATAAATTAGAGTGTTTCTGTTTTTGGGGTTTTAGGGCTGTTGCAATGCCAAGAGCCAAGAGTGGAGCACATCTTCAAATGAAATTGGTGTACAATCATTTGGCGCCCCTCTGTCTATTTTCGCTACAATGGATGGATTGTTCCTGCATATGTCTACTCCGTAGATATTTAAACTTCTTTCATATGCTTGTGTACAAGGTTTGTTTGTCTTCCCTGGTTTATTCTGTTTCTTAAAGGATGGTTCACATACATTTCTAGACATGTTTACTCCCTGTTTATATACGATCTTTGTTCGCTTCTATCTTTTTTACTACAGGCATATACAGATGGGAGATCAAAGATATCTACACATGGTAGAAAGGCAACAATTAAAGAGTTATATAATCATAATTTTCAGCTATAATGATTCATTCACCTTATCATTTTCCCTTCCTGCTAATTAACTAATTGTAGGTGTTATATTACCATCTCTTCAAAGGCTCCATGGTAACTTGGGGGAGTTGGATGATGAAAAGGAAGGGCAGTTTACTATGGGGAGTTCTGGCAAGAAAAGAGTTGAATTAGATAATAGACTTGGGAATATTGATTTGGAGAGGGAAGATGAATGTGGGATTTGCTTGGAGCCTTGTCTCAAATATCGAGCTTGAAGCAATAAATATAACAACGCAGAAGCAATATATTGTAATAAATCTACAGTAATAGACAATAATAAATAATAAAAAAATATAAAAAAAATAAAGCATATCAAGATTTACGTGAAAAACCTTCAAGTGTAAAGGTAAAACCATGAATCACCAAAAAATCTTCACTATCAAATAATAGATATACAAAGTTCTTCTTTAGCTAAAACTAGAGCTAATCAACAATTAGAGAGATAATTGAAGAAATCTCACTAAATAAGTAATTCAACAAATACACTCTGGATTTGTTCGTAAAGAGCTTTAAACCCAATTTTCACCGTTCAAAATGTAGAACTCTGAATCATAAAACTGCTGACAAAATTTCAGCTCAATCGGATCACAGATTGATTTTCGTTCAACCAACTCTCTTTTCTCTTTTTTCTCTTTATTTTTCCTAGCTTATCTTCTTTCTTTTATTGGTTTTCGATACCACCTTAAAACAATCCTACCTCTTTTTATTAAGTAGCTAGGACTATGTGTAAAAAGAAAGACCAAGGCCTATGACCTTTGATTGGTCCAAAACCAATTACATAGGGGCTGTATCTTATTTTCCTAACAATCTCCCATTTCAGCCCCATTAAGAGGAGATTCATCCCCATAGCAGTTTTATTTGAAACTTATCTTGGCCAAAGAACTCATTTCGGCTAAGTTACTACAGAGCTCAAGCTTCTCCCTAAAAAGTATCTTAGTTAACATATCTGCTACATTCTCATCAGTATGAATTTTTTTTAACTGTATTTGTTGTTCCTCAATCACTGAACGTAACTAATGATATCTAACATCAATATGCTTTGTTCTAGCATGGTACATGGCATTCTTACTCAAATTTAAAGCACTCTGGCTATTACAAAATATCACATACTTTTTTTTATCCAACCCTAATTCAAGAAGAAAATGTTTCATATAAAGCATTTTTTTACATGTTTCAATTGCTACAATATACTCTGCCTATGTAGTCGACAAAGCAACACACATTTGTAACTTAGACTGTCAAGACACAACTCCTCCTACAAAAGTGAACAAATATCCTGAAGTAGATTTCCTACCATCAAGATCACCTATCATGTCAGCATCAATAAACCTTTCTAGAACTGATTGTGAAACTTCATAACTCAAGCACATTTTTTATGTGCCCCTAAAATATCTAAAAATTCATTTCACTGCTACCCAATGAACTTTTCTCGGATTAGAAAGAATCTGCTCACTATACCAACTGCATGAGCAATATCAGGCCATGTACAAATCATAAAATACATTAACGAACCAACTGTAGAAGAATAAAGAATACTAGACATAGCTAGTTGTTCTTCCTTAGACATCGGACAAGATTTCTTACTTAGACGAAAATAGTTGGCAAGTGGACTGCTAACTGACTTAGCATGCTGCATGTTAAATTTACTAAGTACCTGTTCAACATATTTTTCCTATGACAACCATAGCTTTTCAGCTTTTCTATCTCGGATAATGTCCATACCTAGAATCTGCTTTGTTGGACCTAAATCTTTCATGTCAAAGGACTTAGATAATTAGATAATTGTTCTTTCAACTTGCAAACCATACTAGCATCTTGTCCTACAATCAACATATCATCAACATATAATAAAAGAATAATGAAGTTATCATCAACATTTTTTTTGACATACACACAAGGATCCATTGCCGTTCTTTTATAGTTGTGACTCACCATAAAAAAATCAAACTTCTTGTACCACTGTTGTGGAGCTTGTTTCAAGCCATATAAGCTTTTTTTCAATTTGCAAACTAAGTGCTCTTTTTTTATCACTTCAAAACCCTCAGGCTGATTTATATAAATGTTCTTTTACAAGTCACCATGCAAGAATGCAGTTTTAACATCAAGTTACTTAAGCTCAAGATCTAAACTAGCAGCTAATCCTAATACCACTCGAATGAAACTCATCTTCACAACTAGAGAAAAGATCTTATCAAAATCGATGCCTAATTTTTGAGAAAAATCTTTTACCACCAATCGAGCTTTGTATCTCACTAGCTTGTCACCATCTTTTTTCAACTTGAACACCCATTTATTTTTCAATGGCCTCTTTCATTTTAAAAGTTTAACAAGATCATAAGTATCATTTTTTTTGTAATGACTCTATTTTTTCTTTTTTTGCTTTTAACCAATGCTCTCTATTCGGAGTAGTCTACACATCTTGAAAGCGCTCTGACTCCCTTTCATTAGTAACTAAAATAAAATCCAAACTTAGATATCTAGTAAATGACTTATGCTCTCTAGTAGATTTCCTAGGCTGAAACTCTACACTACCTAATGCTGAAGGTAGCTCTCCCTACTAACACTTTTAGGTAGAGAGGATTGCTCCTCTTGCTCAAAATTATTTGCATCTAGCTCATCATTAACTGTGGCTGGCTCATTCATATCTTCAAGTTCTGTTTCTTACTCATTTTCACCATTTGTGGCTCTTTCTTATGGAACCCATGTCGATGTTGAAACATTACATTCAATAGTTACCCGTGCAGTCTTTTCATTTTTTTCAAGGTTTGCTATAGTTTTTTTTTTCATGAAAGATCACATCTATGCTTTTGACTCTCTTTTTTTTCACTAGATCCCATATCTTATAACCAAATTTTTTATCACCATATCTTACAAACACACACTGTGTAATTTTACTGTCAAGCTTTGACCTCCATTCTTTTGACACATGCATAAATGCTTTACACCTGAACACTTTCAAATGAGAGTATGAAGCATCTTTTTCTGTCCACACACTTTTTGAAATGTCAAAGCCCAAAAGAACTGATGGTGATCTATTAAGAAAATAACAAATTGTGTTGACTGCTTCACCCCGAAATGGTTTTAGTAATTTTGTCATCTTCAACTTACATCTGACTTTTTTCATAAAGGTATGGTTCATCCTTTCAACTACACCATTATGTTATGATGTTCCAAGTTCTGTAATCTCATACCTAATCTCATGCTTTGAACAGTACTTTTCAAAGTCTTTGGATGTGTATTCCCCATCATTATCAGTTTGAATATACTTTAAGAGTAACCCTGTCATTTTTTTTACCATGACATGAAATTTTAAAAAATACTGTAATAACTGGCTTTTATTTTTCAACATATACATCCAAGTCTTATGTGAAACATGATCAATAAAAGTAACAAAATATTTACTATCATCTAATAACTCAATCTCAATGGGATCACATACGTCAAAATAAATCAATTTCAATCTATTTTCCTTTCTCTAAGAACTCTTACGAAAAAAAATTGTACGATGCTTCCCAAACAAACAATAATCATATGAATCGAGAGACATACCTTTGATCAAGAGAATGAGAGACTGCCTAGTCAAAACTTGTGACTCATTCTCATTCATGTGTGCCAACCTCTTGTGCTATAAGTTTGCTAAAGCATTATCCTCAATGGCATTTACCTGGTTGTCATTCAATTGCATACATGTTTTATATATTATGTAGCATAGTTTTCTCCTTGCAACTATCATATCTCATTTGAGAAGCTTTCACTGCCCATTCTTTGTCGACTCTCATATCCTTTCTTATTAAGGATATTAATAACAAGCAAATTTATTCTCATATCCGAAATATGTTCGACATCCCTCAAAGTCAACATACAGCTTGTAGTAGTTTGTACAACAATATCACCAATCCTAACAATCTATGACACACTCTTGTTTCCCATTTTGATGCAACCAAAGTCTCTTACTTTGTAAGTTGTAAACAACTCTCTCTTAGGAATACAATGATATGCTACTCCCATGTCAACTATCCACTCAATGCTGGGATTACCAATATGATTACAATCACCATGTGTATAAATCAAAGTAATTGAATCACTATCTGAATTTAATGCTGCAATATTACCATCATCTGAACTCTTGTCTTTCTCATCTTTTCGCTCTTGCTTCAAGATTTTACAGTGTTGTTTTATATGACATGCCTTACCACAATGGAAATACTTCACTTTATCTCTGAACTTAGATCTATATTTAGACTTACTACGACCTTTTGAGTTATAACTTTTATCGATGTTTTTACCCCTGTTTTCTATTACCAAAGCTTGATTCTCAAGGTCTACATCTTTTTACCTTGCTTCTTTATTAAGCATACTATCTTTTACCATCCAATGTCACCTTATAATTAGGAGTTGAATCAAGAATAATCACAACTAGAGTATTTCAGCTGTTTGGTAATGAACCCAAAAGAAACAACGCATTCATTTCATCATCCATCTTAAGCTCTATAATAGTCATCTGATTAAATATATCTTGAAAATCACTCAAGTACTCTGTAATAGATCGTCTATCCCTGTATTATAAAATTGTAAGCTTTTTAACAAGCATAACTTAATTTATACTTGTTTTTTTTTTCATATAATGCTGTCAATTTTTCTCAAACAATGTGGACATCTGCCTCCTGCGCTACATGATGGAATACGCTAATATCAAATCATTTTTTGATTATAGCCAGTCTCTTTCTGTCTAACTTCTTTCAATTTTTATCTTTCATATATGCTGGTTTAGCCGAATCATTCAATACTAGCTCATACAAATCTTTACAGTATAAGTGATCTTCTATCACAGGCTTCCTAATTGAATAATTTGAAGCTATCAATTTTATCATTGAACCTGTATCACCTTCAATGATCTCAAATAAAATTTTCTTCTGTCTTGGGCTATTTTTGTATCGTTGTCTCAAAATAACACTCGCTCTGATACTACTTGCTAGGCCTCAAGTAATAAACTCAACAACGTAGAAGTAATATGTCGCAATAAACCTACAACAATAGATAACAATCAATAATAAAAAACGTAAGAAAAATAAAGCACACTAAGATTTATGTGAAAAACCCTCAAGTGTAGAAGAAAAAATCATGAATCATCAGAAAAATCTTCACTATCAAATAATGGATATACAAAGTACTTCTCTAGCTAAAACTAGAGCTAATCAATAACTAAAGAAATAATTGGAGAAATCTCACCAAATAGGTGACTCAACAAATACATCATAGATTTGTTCATAGAGAATTTCAAACTGAATCTTCATCGTTCAGAATGTAGAACTCTGAATTATAAACTTGCTGACAAAATTTTAACTTAATCGGATCATGGATCGACTTCCATTCAACTAACTCTCGATTCTCCTTTTTCTCTCTATTTTTTTTTTTTTTGGCTTTTCTTCTTTCTCTTCTTGGTTTTTGACACCACCTTAAAACAATTCCATCTTTTTTTATTAAATAACTAAGGTTCTATGTAAAAAGAAAATTAAGGCTCATTGCCTTTTATTGGACCAAAATCAATTACATGCGGCTAAACCCTATTTTCCTCGCACCAAATTGGTCTTGCCTAATTGTTGCCATGCAATGTGCATCAAATGCTACGGCAATTGGTGACTGGAAACCTCTTGTCATTCCTCTTACATTTCCATTCTTTCAAGTTTCACCCTTAATGGTTTTCTTTCCAAATTACGGGAGCACAAAATCAGAGTCCTGTCCTTTTTGCCACGGTAGCTTGAAAAGAGTTAACTCTGAAGATTTATGGGTGCTTATTTGCAATGATGATGTGATCGACAATAAAACTGTTTCTAAGGAGGACTAGTTGCGTTTCTACCTCTACATCAACAGGCTTCCAAAAGATTGCATGCACTTTTCTTGGTATATTATGAGTACCTAATTTGATTTGAGGTAGTTGAGAAAATGGTGTACAGATAGAAAACGCCGACCATCAAATGTAAATAGAGTCTGGTAAGGAAATTCTCTCTACTTCTTTGGGAAAAGAATTAGTCCAATTTTAAGCGTTTCGGAAATTAATGAACATCGGTGTACAAAACCCTCATTGATTATAAATGGAAGTTGTAATTTCTGAAACTTGAGTTTGCAGTCTGTGATTGCCTCGAATCTTTTGTTGAAAGCGATTGGCAAAGCATATTAAATGGACTAATTTATCAGCCAAAGCCATCCCCAGTCTACTTTGTCATTTTTTTAGGAGTTTCAGTGAAAAAGCACGCATAAAACAGGCAGTTTATTATTCATAGTAGTTTGATATTCCAGTCTTTAAAATGATTTACAGGCCATACAATATCGTAATGGTTCAAAAAGACAAAAAGGAACAGGCTGTGAAGCCCGGAACTCTCTTACAAAATTATTCATTCTCCTGCCACGAAGAGTTATATTTCTCTACGTATACCTCTTTGGGTTGCAATGCTGCAATTGAACGATGAAATAAATTCATTTGTAGTTATTTGCTCCTTTGTAACCTACATTGGTTTCTCAGCATGTTGTCAAATGCAGCTAATCAGTCTATTGAAATTTGAAACCGGTGCCATGTGGCTGTCTTTGCAAGGATCATTTTGCTGCAGAATCAATGCTATATGCTTTCCTGCTGATTTCCGTTTGATTTTGGTACCAAAACAATGACTTTTTTCCCGTATTTTTATTGCAGGACGTAGTTATTAAAAAGGGAGAGCAAAATGATTCTGTTTTCAATACAACTATTGGCACAAGTTGAACTCCAAAAAAAATTGAAAATGGAATAAAGAAGGGGCAACAAAAGCCGCCACTCTAGCATTTATAAATATATGAATACGTCGAAATGTACATCAAACATACATCACTCTTGGTTCACCATATGTGAAGGCCGGGATGTCTTAAGGTAGCCGTAGGCCTACCACCCTACACCTGAGAAGCTATTTTATTGACAAAACTAACTTATAATAGAGGGGAACGGGGAGAAAATTGGTTGGCGAGCAGCCTAGTGTCCTTGAAAGAGTGGTTTACGTAAGCTTCTATGCCTACTAACTAGATCAGCAAAAGATGGTTTGCTGAAGCCTTTGTGGAGTAAGAGATGAGTTATTTGTTGATGCATTGCTTCTGTGAGATGAAGCCCATCCCAGTGGACGTGGCCAGCTGGGTTGCGGTAGGTGTTGGTGCCTGCCATACCACATATATTGTGCAAGTTAAAGTTGAGATATCCACCTCCAGCGCCACAGCATGCCTGGGATCCATCTGAAAACCCAAACCCCGCAAGGTTTCCCATGATTGTTTTGAATGCGTTGAAATAATCGGCATATGCAATTATAACATCGGAGCCATGTTTTTTCCGAAATTCTTCCAATGTCTTCTGGAGGAGCTTATTATGGGCCATCACCGCTCTATTGATAACTGCTGAACAACCCATTTCATCCTTGGCAAATTGGGGAGTCAATAACTTGGCTAATGGACAGCACCCCACCGGTGGTAGCCCTTGAACCACAACGAATTTTGCACCACTGTCCAACACTGTCTGTAGCATATACAAAAAGAAAAAAAAATGCAAGTTAATATTTAAGCGTTTCCACAATTATATAAAGAGATTTCCTTTGAAGGCATACATACATACCGTAAGAATTTTGGAGATATGACCAAGGGTTAAATCTGTAAGCCACCGCATGGAAATGGAAGACCCTATGACACGAGCAAAGTCATCTACGCCTATTTGTCCAAGCCAAATGAGGCTGTTTCCTATTTCTGTCTTGCATTCTTCCTCGGACTTCCCATTGCAGGCTATTTCCGTCTGAAACTTGTTGAACCATTCTATTTGTGTTTGGAAGCCTAGTGGAATGCCTTTCCACAACAGGGTGTGACCGATTCTGTGATTAGCAAAAAAGTCGCGTGAAAGAGATGTTGCACCTCCTACTGCGAAGTTCACTCCGGAGTTCCAGTTGACAGCAGAGTTTGCAGAAATGGCTTTATATGGCTGTAATTTGGGTATGTTGAGATCATCACAAAGGAAATCAACAACCAAGCGACCATTACTTGATCTACTACCGACCTTGAAGTTTGAGTTTGCGCCTTGAAAAATTCTTGCCAAAAGTGAACCGCGAAGTTTTTTACAATGCCCAACAACTGAGCATTTCCGGTGTCAGTATATGAGTCCCCAAAAGAAAAAACCTTGGGAAAACTATCACTAAAGTTGGTTTCCTTCTTGTTTTCTTCACTGTCAGAAGCCTTAGAACTCGAAAAAGAGCCGGAACCTTTGAAAGAGCCATAACCTTGGGAAGAGCCAGATGCTGCAAAGCCAGAAGCATTAGAGGAACTAATGCCTGTGGAAGAGCCCAAATTTCTAGGACTGGAAGAAGACGATCTAGAGCTTGTGGAAGAGCCCGAATTTGTAGGACCAGGAGCTGCAGAATTGCCCCAAGTAGAGAAAGAACCGGAACCTTTAAAAGAGCCCAAAGATGCAAAGGCGTCTGAACCCCTTGATGATTTGCTAGAACCTGATAAAGAACCCGAATATGTGGAAGAACTAGAAGCACTAGACCCCGGCGAAGATTTAGGAGTTTTAAAAGAGTCAGAACTCTTAAAATGGCTAGAACCTTTAGAAGAGCCAGAGTTAGAGGAACCAGAACTTGTAGAGCCAGTCGATGAATAGTCAGAAGTCGTAGAAGAGCCATGACCCGTAGTGTTAGGAAAATGGGTCCAATCCCATGTAAGTGGTTTTGGAAGTAAAGGTCATGGGCCTTGATCTTTTATTTTACACAGAGCCCTAACTACTTAATAAAAAGAGGTGGGGTTGTTTTAGGTGTGTGTCGACAACCAAGCAGAGAAAGAAGAAAAGCCAGGAAAAGCAGAGAGAGAAAAAAGAGAAGGGAGAGTTGGTTGAACGGAAGTCAATCCGTGGTCCGATTGAGTTGGAACCTTGTCAGGAGGTTTATGATTCAGAGTTCTACATTCTGAACGGTGAAGATTGGGTTTGAAGCTCTCTAGGAACAAATCCAAGGTGTATTTGTTGAGTCACTTATTTGGTGAGATTTCTCCAATTGTTTCTCTAGTTGTTGATTAGCTCTAGTTTTACCTAGAGAAGAACTTTGTATAACTATTATTTGATAGTGAAGATTTTTCTGGTGGCCCGTGATTTTTTCCCTCTACACTGGAGGGTTTTCCACGTAAATCTTGGTGTGCTTTATTTTTCCTGCGTATTTGATTATTGATTGCTGTCTATTGCTTCTGTATTATTGTGATTATTGCTTCAGGCGCAACAAGTGGTATCAGAGCGAGGGTTATTTTGAGACATCGATACAGAAGCAACCCATGATAGAAGTAAATTCTGTTTGAGATCATGGAGGGTGATACAGGTTTCATGATAAAATTGACAGCATCGAATTATTCAATTTGGAAGCCTATGATGGAGGATCATCTATACTGCAAAGATTTGTATGAGCCAGTATTGGGTGATTCGACTAAACCAGCAGATATGAAAAGGTGTATTTGTTGAGTCACTTATTTGGTGAGATTTCTCCAATTGTTTCTCTAGTTGTTGATTAGCTCTAGTTTTACCTAAAGAAGAACTTTGTATAACTATTATTTGATAGTGAAGATTTTTCTGGTGGCCCGTGATTTTTTCCCTCTACACTAGAGGGTTTTCCACGTAAATCTTGGTGTGCTTTATTTTTCCTGCGTATTTGATTATTGATTGCTGTCTATTGCTTCTGTATTATTGTGATTATTGCTTCAGGCGCAACAAGTGGTATCAGAGCGAGGGTTATTTTGAGACATCGATACAGAAGCAACCCATGATAGAAGTAAATTCTGTTTGAGATCATGGAGGGTGATACAGGTTTCATGATAAAATTGACAGCATCGAATTATTCAATTTGGAAGCCTATGATGGAGGATCATCTATACTGCAAAGATTTGTATGAGCCAGTATTGGGTGATTCGACTAAACCAGCAGATATGAAAGATGAAAGCTGGAAGAAGCTAGGTAGAAAAACGCTGGCTACAATCAAAAAATGGGTTGATATCAGCGTGTTCCATCATGTAGCGCAGGAGTCAGATGCTCACATTGTTTGGGAAAAATTAGCAGCATTGTATGAGAGAAAAACAGGTATGAATAAAGTTATGCTTGTTAAAAAGATTGCAACTTGTAAGTCTAAACATAGATCCAAGTCTAGAGGTAAAGTGAAGTGTTTTCATTGTGGTAAGGCGGGTCATATAAAACGAAACTGTAGAATCTTAAAGCAAAAGCGAAAAGATGAGAAAGGCAAGAGTTCAGATGATGGCAATGTTGCAGCAGTGAATTCAGATAGTGATTCAGTTACTTTGATTTGTACACATGGTGATTGTAATCATGTTAGTGATCCCGGCATTGAGTGGATAGTTGACATAGGTACGGCATATCATTGTGTTTCTAAGAGAGAGTTGTTTACAACTTACAAAGTAGGAGACTTTGGTTGTATCAAGATGAGAAACAAGAGTGTGTCGCAGATTGTTGGGATTGGTGATATTATTGTACAAACTAGTACATGCTGCATGTTAACTTTGAGGGATGTCAGACACATTCCAGATATGAGAATGAACTTGCTTGCTATTAATGTCCTTGATAAGGAGGGATATGAAAGCCGACAAAAGAATGGATAGTGGAAGCTTCTCAAAGGATCTATGGTAGTTGCAAGAGAAAAACTATGCTGCACAATGTATAAGATATGGATGCAATTGAACGGTAACCAGGTAAATACCATTGAAAATGATGCTTCAGCAAACTTGTGGCACAGGAGGCTGGCACACATGAGTGAAAAAAGGTTACAGGTTTTGGCAAGGCAGTCTCTCATTCCCTTGACCAAAGGTATGTCTCTCGATTCATGTGATTATTGTTTGTTTGGTAAGCATCATAGAGTTTCTTTTCGTAAAAGTTCTCAGAGAAAAGAAAATAGATTAGAATTAATTTATTCTGACGTATGTGGTTCTATTGAGGTTGCGTCATTAGGTGGTAGCAGATATTTTGTTACTTTTATTGATGATGCTTCACGTAAGACTTGGGTGTATATGTTGAAATACAAAAGTCAGGTACTGCAGTATTTTCAAAAATTTCATGCCATGGTTGAAAGGATGACAGGTTACCCTTGAACTGTATTCGAACTGATAATGGTGGGGAATACACATCTAAAGGCTTTGAAGAGTATTGCTCAAAGCATGGGATCAGGCATGAGAGGACAGAACCTGGAACACCGCAGCATAATGGTATAGCTGAAAGAATGAATCGCACCATTGTGGAAAAAGTCAAATGTATGTTGAGGATGGTAAAATTACCAAAGCCATTATGGGGTGAAGTAGTCAACACAGCTTGTTATTTACTTAACAGGTCACCATCAGTTCCTTTGGGCTTTGACATTCCAGAAAGAGTGTGGATAGGGAAAGATGCTTCATACTCTCACTTGAAAGTTTTTGGGTGTAAAGCATTTATGCATGTACCAAAAGAGCAGAGGTCAAAGCTTGATAGTAAAGCTACACAGTGTGTGTTTGTAGGATATGGTGATGAGGAATTTGGCTACAGGGTATGGGATCCAGTAAAGAGAAAGACAGTCAGAAGCAGAGATGTGGTCTTTCATGAAAAAGAAACCATAGCAGACCTTGAGAAAAATGAGAAGACTACATGAGTTACTGTTGAGTGTGATGTTTCAACACCAACAGGGATTTCACAAGAAAGAGCCACAGATGGTGAAAATGAGCCAGAAACAGAACTTGGGGATATGAATGAGCCAGCCACAGTTGGTGATGAGCCAGATGCTATTAGTTTTGAGCAGGGGGAGCAATCCTCTCTACCTGAGAGTGTTGAGCAGGGGAGCTACCTTCAGCATCAAGTGATGTAGAGTCTCAGCCCAGAAGATCTACTAGAGAGCGCAGACCATCTACCAGGTATCCAAGTTTAGATTTTATTTTAGTTACCAGTGAAGGGGAGCCAGAAAGCTTTCAAGATGTGCAGGCTACTCCAGATAGAGAGCACTGGTTAAAAGCAATGAAAGAAGAGATGGAGTCATTACGAAAGAATGGTACTTATGATCTTGTTAAACTTTCAACAGGGAAGAGGCCATTAAAGAATAAATGGGTGTTCAAGTTGAAAAAAAATGGTGACAAATTAGTGAGGTACAAAGTTCGATTGGTAGTAAAAGGTTTTTCTCAGAAACCAGGCATCGATTTTGATGAGATTTTTACTCCAGTTGTAAAAATGAGTTCTATTCGAGTGGTACTAGGATTGGCAGCTAGTTTGAATCTTGAGCTTGAGCAACTTGATGTTAAAACTGTATTTTTGCATGGTGATTTACAGGAGGACATTTATATGAATCAGCCCAAGGGTTTTGAAGTGAAAGGGAAAGAGCACTTAGTTTGCAAATTGAAGAAAAGCTTGTATGGCTTGAAACAAGCTCCGCGACAGTGGTACAAGAAGTTTGATTCTTTTATGGTGAGTCATAGCTATAAAAGAACAGCAACAGATTCTTGTGTGTATGTTAAACAATTTTCTAATGATAACTTCATTATCCTGTTATTATATGTTGATGATATGTTGATTGTAGGACAAGATGCTAGTATGGTTTGCAGGTTGAAAGAACAATTGTCTAAGTCCTTTGATATGAAGGATTTAGGTCCAGCAAAACAGATTCTTGGTATGGACATTATCCGAGATAGGAGAGCTGGAAAGCTGTGGTTGTCACAGGAAAAGTATGTTGAACGAGTGCTTGGTAGATTCAACATGCAACATGTTAAATCAGTTAGTAGTTCACTTGCCAACCATTTTCATCTAAGTAAGAAATCTTGTCCAGTGTCTAAGGAAGAGCAACTAGCTATGTCTAGTATTCCTTATTCTTCTGCAGTCGATTCTTTAATGTATCTTATGGTTTGTACAAGACCTGACATTGCTCATGTAGTTGGTGTAGTGAGCAGATTTCTTTCTAATCTAGGAAAGGTTCACTGGGAAGCAGTGAAATGGATTTTTAGATATTTGAGGGGTACCTAAAAAATGTGCTTGACTTATGGAGTTTCACAACTAGTTCTAGAAGGGTTTACTGATGCTGACATGACAGGCGATCTTGATGGTAGGAAATATACTTCAGGGTATTTGTTCACTTTTGCAGGAGGAGCTATATTTTGGCAGTCTAAGTTGCAGAAGTGTGTTGCTTTGTCAACTACAGAGGCTGAGTATATTGCAGCAACTGAAGCATGTAAAAAATGCTTTGGATGAAACATTTTCTTCTTGAATTGGGGTTGAATCAAAAAGAGTATGTGATATTTTGTGATAACCAGAGTGCTTTAGATTTGAGTAAGAATACCATGTACCATGCTAGAACAAAGCACATTGATGTTAGATATCATTGGTTACGTTCAGTGATTGAAGAACAACAGATGCTATTGAAGAAAGTCCATACTGATAAAAATGTGGCAGATATGTTGACTAAGATACTTCCTAGGGAAAAGCTTGAGCTTTGTAGTAACTTGGCCGGAATGAGTTCCCTGGCCAAGGTAAGTTCCAAATGAAACTGCTATGGTGATGAATCTCCTCCTAATGGGGCTGGAGGGGGAGATTGTTAAGAAAATGGGGTCCAGTCCCATGTAAGTGGTTTTGGACCAAGTAAAGGCCATGGGCCTTGATCTTTTATTTTACACAGAGCCCTAACTACTTAATAAAAAGAGGTGGGGTTGTTTTAGGTGTGTGTCGACAACCAAGCAGAGAAAGAAGAAAAGCCAGGAAAAGCAGAGAGAGAAAAAGGAGAAGGGAGAGTTGGTTAACGAAAGTCAATCTGTGGTCCGATTGAGTTGGAACCTTGTCAGGAGGTTTATGATTCAGAGTTCTACATTCTGAACGGTGAAGATCGGGTTTGAAGCTCTCTATGAACAAATCCATGGTGTATTTGTTGAGTCACTTATTTGGTGAGATTTCTCCAATTGTTTCTCTAGTTGTTGATTAGCTCTAGTTTTACCTAGAGAAGAACTTTGTATAACTATTATTTGATAGTGAAGATTTTTATGGTGGCTCGTGGTTTTTTTCCTCTACACTGGAGGCTTTTTCACGTAAATCTTGGTGTGCTTTATTTTTCCTCCGTATTTGATTATTGATTGCTGTCTATTGCTTCTGTATTGTTGTGATTATTGCTTCAGGCGCAACACATAGAATTGCCGAAGAACTAGAACTTGTAATGTCAGAATCTGATGAAGATTTAGAAGTTTTAGAAGAGCCAGAACCGTTAGAATTTTTAGATTTTGATAAAGAGTCAGATTTTTTGAAAGAGTCAGAATCGCCTGGACTTGATGAAGAGTCAGAATCTTTAGAATTGCTAGAACCTGATAAAGAACCAGAACTTGTACTACCAGAATCTGATGATGAATCAGAAGTCTCAGAAAAGTTAAAATTTTTAGAATTGTTAAAACCTGATAAAGAACCAGCACTTTTAGAAAAACTAGAAGCATCCGAAGTTGATGAAGAGTCAGAAGTCGTAGAAGAGCCATTAGAAATGCTAGAGTTGGATGAGGATCCAGAACTTGTAATGCCGGAATATGAAGAAGAGTCTGAAGACTTAGAAGAATCAGAACCTTTAGAATTGTCAGAACTTGATAAAGATCCAGAACTTCTAGAAGAATCAGAAAAGCCTGAACTTGATGAAGAGCCAAAAATTGTAGAAGAGCCAGGACCCTTTGAATTGTTAGAATCTGTTAAAGAACCAAAATTTGTAGTGTCAGAACCTGATAATGCGTCTGATAGCTTAAAAGAGCAGGAACCTTTAGAATTGTTAAAACCTGATAAAGAACTAGAACTTTTCGAAGAGTCAGAAGCATTAGAAGCTGATGAAGAGTCAGAAGTCGTAGAAGAGCCATAACCCTTAGAATTGCTAGAATTCGATGAGGATCCAGAACTTGTAATGCCAGAATCTGAAGATGAGTCTGAAATCTTAGAAGAACCAGAACCTTTAGAATTGTTAGAACTTGATAAAGAACCAGAACTTTTAGAAGAATCAGAAGAGCCTGAACTTGATGAAGAGTCAAAAGTCGTAGAAGAGCCAGAACCCTTAGAATTGCTAGAACCTGTTAAAGAACCAAAATTTGTAGTGTCAGAACCTGATGATGACTCCGAAATCTTAAAAGAGCCAAAACCTTTAGAATTGTTAAAACCTGATAAAGAACCAGAACTTTTTAAAGAGTCAGAAGCATTGGAAGTTGATGAAGAGTCAGAAGTCGTAGAAGAGTCATAACCTTTAGAATTGCTAGAATTCGATGAGAATCCAGCATTTGTAATGCCAGAATCTGAAGAAGAGTTTGAAGTCTTAGAAGAATCAGAACCTTTAGAATTGTTAGAACTTGATAAAGAACCAGAAGCTTTAGACGAATCAGAAAAGCCTGAACTTGATGAAGAGCCAAAAGTCGGGGAAGAGCTAGAACCCTTAGAGTCGCTAGAACCTGTTAAAGAATCAAAATTTGTAATGTCAGAACCTGATTATGAGTCGGAAGTCTTAAAAGAGCTAGAACCTTTAGAATTGTTAAAACCTGATAAAGAACCAGCACCTTTAGAAGAACTAGAAGCGTTGGAAGTTGATGAAGAGTCAGAAGTCGTGGAAGAGCCATAACCCATAGAATTACTAGAATTCGATGAGGATCCAGAATTTGTAATGCTAGAATCTGAAGAAGAGTCTGAAGTCTTAGAAGAATCAGAAACTTTAGAATTGTTAGAACTTGATAAAGAATCAGAACTTTTAGAAGAATTAGAAGACCCAAAAGTCGTAGAAGATCCAGATTCCTTAGAATTGCTAGAACCTGTTAAATAACCAAAATTTGCAGTGTCAGAACTGGATGATGAGTCCAAAGTCCTAAAAAAGCTAGAACGTTAGAATTGTTAAAACCTGATAAAGAACCAGAACTTTTCGAAGAGTCAGAAGAGCTTGAACTTGATGAACCAGAACGTTTAGACTTGCTTGAACCTGATAAATAACCAGAACTTGTAGTGCCAGAACCTGATGTCGAGTCAGAAGTCTTAGAAGAGTTAGAACCTTTAGAATTGCTAGAACTTGATAAAGAACCAGAACTTGTAGAAGAGCCAGAAGCATCGGAATTTGATGAATAGTCAGAAGTTGCAGAATAACCAGAACCCTTAGAATTGCTAGAACTTGATAAAGAACTCGAACTTGTAGTGCCAGAATCTGATGAAGAGCCTGAACTCTTAGAAGAGCTAGAATCTTTAGAATTGTTAGAACCTGATAAAGAGCCAAAACTTTTAGAAGAGTCAAAAGAGCCTGAAGAGCCTGAACTTGTAGAAGAGCCAGAACTCTTAGAACTGTTAGAACCTGATAAAGAACTAGAACTTGTAGTGCCAGAACCTGATGATGAATCAGAAGTCTTAGAGGAGTTAGAACCTTTAGAATTGCTAGAACTTGATAAAGAACCAGAATTTGGAGCAGAGCCAGAAGTGCTGGAACTTGATGAATAGTCAGAAGTTGTAGCCGAGACAGAACTCTTGGAATTGTTAGAACTTGATAAAGAATTAGAACTTGTAGTGCCAGAACCTGATGAAGAGTCTGAAGTCTTAGAAGAGCTAGAACCTTTAGAATTACTAGAATCTGATATAGAACCAGAACCTTTAGAAGAGCTAGAATAGCCTAAACTTGAGGAAGAGCCAAAGGTCGTAGAATGGCTAGAACTCTTAGAATTGCCAGAACCTGATAAAGAGCCAGAACTTATAGTGCCAGCATAGATGATGAGTCAGAAGTTTTAGAAGAGTTAGAACCTTTAGAATTGCTAGAACTTGATAAAGAACCAGAACTTGTAGAAGAGCCAGAAGCATCGGAACTTGATGAATGGTCAGAAGTTGCAGAAGAGCTAGAACCTTTTGAATTGCTCGAATCTGATAAAGAACCAGAACTTATGGTTCCAGAAACTGATGAAGAGTTAGAAGTCTTAGAAGAAACATAACCTTTAGAATTGTTAGAACTTGATAAAGAACTAGAACTTATAGAAGAGTCAGAAGCGCTGGAATTTGATTGAGAGTTGGATGTTTTAGAGGAGTCAGAACCCTTTCTAGAACCTGATGAAGAACCAGAACTTGTGGTGGCAGAACTTGATGAAGAGTTAGAAGTCTTAGAAGAACCAAAATCCTTAGAATTGCTAGAACCAGAATTTTTAGAAGAGCCAGAAATGTCGGAACTTGATGAAGAATCAGAAGTTGTAGAAGAACCAGAACCTTTAGAATTGCTAGAACTCGATGAAGAACCAAAACTTGATGAAGAGTCTGAAGTCTTAGAAGAACCAGAACTCTTAGAATTGCTAGAACTTGACAAAGAACCAGAACTTGCGGTGCCAAACCCTGATGAAGAGTTAGAAGTTTTAGAAGAACCAGAACCCTTAGAATTGTCAAAACCTGATAAAGAACCAGAATTTATCGAAGAGTCAGATGCACCGGAACTTGATGAAGAGTTAGAAGTTGTAGAAGAGCCTGAACCCTTATAATTGCTAGAACTTGATAAAGAACCAGAACTTGATGAAGAGTCTGAAGTTTTAGAAGAATCAGAACCCTTAGAATTGCTAGAACTTGATGAAGAACCAGAACCTGTTAAAGCACCAGAACGTGATAAAGAGTTAAAAGTTGGCGAAAAGTCAAAACCTTTAGAATTACTAAAAGTTGATAAAGAATTAAAACTTGTATATGACCTAGAAGTCCTGTAACCTAATAGAGAGTTAGAAGTTGTAGAAGAGTCAAAACCTTTAAAATTGTTAGAACTTGTGGAAGAGGCAAAACCTTTAAAAGAACCGGATCTCTTAAAAGTACTGGAACTTGAAGGAGAGCTTGTTCTTGATGATGAGCCAGAAGTTGAACTTGAACCTGATAAATAAGAAGAGCTAGAACCTGTAGAATCACCAGAATTTTAAGAACTCTTAAAAGAGCTAGAACCCTTAAAAGAGCTAGAATCTGTATCAGAACTGGAATCCTTATAAGAGCCGGAACTCGTAAAAGAACCAGAACCTAAAAAAAAAAAGAACTTAAACTTGTTAGAATCTAAAGTTGATAAAAGAGGAAATGTTAGAACCCGGTAGGAGCACTTGAACTTTTAAAAGCACCCAAACCTGAAAAAGTGCCAAACCCCGAACCACCTGAACTTGATAAAGAGCCAAAACCTTTAGAATAGCTCGAGCCAGCAGTTGAGTGATCGGAAGATTTTGAATTTGTAGAAGAGTCTAACGTCTTAAAAGACGTAGAACTTGCATGATATGGAAGAGTTGCATATGAATGGGAGTTGGAATATTTTGAGTCAGACTCTTTAGAAGGTGTTACATCGTGAAAATGTGCAAAAGAAAATGAAAATGATAAGAAAAGTAAAAAAGATAAAACATGAACGAAATGCTTGGAAATCATTATTTTGTTGATTCAAATGGATATATACCTATATGTTTTTCCCTTTTGTTTGAAGTTGTGTATTTGGAGGCTTCTATACTTTCTCGTCCTCCTTAAGATAGCATAAGTAGAAACGGTCACCTAAGGACCTCAATGTTTTTAGGACAGCGTAAAGCACTCTAGGATTTGCATGAGTTTGTGGTTTTGCTATCATGACTCTTGCTTTGCCTTACAAAGAATAATCATAAACAATTTCTCGACATTATTTTCTAAACGTAAGAGGAAATCAAGCCCTGTTGTATTCTTATATTTTAATAATTTTTAATATAATTATTATTGGTATTAAAGCAGACATAACCCATTAAAATCAATTTTTAATTGATTATAGACTCCTAATTTCATAGTTCTCACAACTTCTCAAGTAATTGTATTGAGAATATTTAATATGATCATTACTTTCATTTATATTAACTTCTTATTACATTTTTTCTAAGCAAGATCCACTTTATTATTTTTTTTTTAAATAAAGGAATTTCGAGTTCTCTCTTTGATTAATAAAACAAACTGAAATTATGTTATTATTATTAAAGTCCTACATGCCATTTAACCCAACGGTCCACTGTTTTTATTATTAATTCTAATTATATTATTAAGTGGTTTATACATTACAAATTAAAAATAAAATTTAGTAATGCATTGAAGTAGGTCTTTGTCCCTTTCAGCCTGCTATAGTGGAAAACGCTTTGGCTAAGCTTTGAATAGGTTGGGATTACATTAAAGTTCTATGATTAGTTTTCAAATTTTCAGCTTAAAAAATCTTAAAATCGTTGTAAATTAATTATTGTTAAAAAGCTAAGGTAGTGTTTGGTTTTAAAAAACAGATTTATTTTTTGTTTTTATTTTTTAAAGACTTTTAAAAATGATTTTAAAGTTATATTTAATTTATTTTTATACTAATTATTAATTTTTTTTCATATTTTTCACTAAATAATTATTCTTCTTAAAAAATTAAAAAATATATTTTTAAAACTTAAAAATAAAAAACTGAGCAAATTTAACTTTTTCTTTTTGTAAATTCTACTTTATACAATTAAAAAAGTTATTTTTATAATACTTTAAAATATTTTTATTAATTTAACATTGATTTAAATTATTTAATTCAAAATCCAAAATTTTAAAATGATGAATGTCCATCCAATTTATGATACCATGATAGTAATTAACAAAAAACTATAAACGTGGTTAATGAGTAGATTTATTCAAGGATTGAATTATTTGTTTAAATTTAAAGATTCATCTAAATTTTAAAAAAATAAAAAATTAAAATTTATTAAATAAATTTAAATATAATTTTTAAATTCATTTAAATTTTGAATCAAATTTTGAAAAAAAAGTCAAAGCCTAAACTCAACTTGATTCGAATAAATTATATATAATTAAAATATTATAATTATATAAATATATATTTGTAAATTTTTATTTTTTATATTTTATTGTAAAAAAATTAAAATTTTTATTATATAAATTAAATTTAATGATAAAGTTAGCAATTTATTTTTTTAATTTAAATTAAACTTAAAATTTTTTTTAAAATCTAAAATATTAAACGGAACTAAACTCAAATAAACATATAAAAAAAAATTTAAATCTAAAATATTAAACCGACCTTAACTCAAACAAACATATGAATTATTAACGTCAAATATACATCTCATCTCAACTCAACCCATGGCCATGAAGATAATGTGGCTTGAAATAAAATATGAGGAAGAGAATGGAAAAGAATTTTGGAGCGTCATCTCGGGTTCGAAAGTAAAGGATTTTTCATTTTTGTGCTCTGCTCCCGCTCTTCCTCAGCCTCCTGCGTCCTACGATTTCTAGATGCTCCTCTCTTTTTTGGGTAATTTGATATCTTCATTTCTAGTTCGGAACGTAGAAATACAGATACTGTAGTAATAAGGTTTGGCTTCCGTTGAGTCTCTCTCTCACGCACACTCAAACACTTTTTTTTTTTCTTTCAGTGTTTTGCTTATCTTGTTTTTGTAAAATTGTAGTGGAACAGCTTAAAATTGCATCCATTTGGATATGGAAGCTAAAACCAGCTATGGGTTTGCTCACAATAAACTGTTAGTGCCACTTTCTTTGAGTTTGCTTTCTTCTTCTGTTTGTTTTACCAACAAAAGGTTTACTTAAAAAGCCAAAGCAAGAGAATGCTAAACTTGGGAAAGTTGTGATGCTTCATGTTAATTCTTGCATGATTTGGTCTGACGTACTCAATTATTAGTCAAAAAAATGTTCATTCTTTGTTAATTGTGCAAAATTGGTGATACTTGAATAGGTGGGAAGTTTGTTGGCTACTATGGTGCCAGTGCCAAGCAGCTTTCACCCCAAAACTCAATCAGTGTAAGCTACCTGGTATTGCTATACGTGAAAAGTGGATAACATTCTGGTCCGACAGGTTTTATACATATCTGCTTTCCTCTGCAGGTTGCTAAATTCAGGATAAGGGCCTTTGCTGGTAGGAAATCAATGAAAAAACTGAGAAGGGAGGGACAACCACGTGAAAGTGTCACCTTGCCAAATAAACAGACTTTACCAGAAGACAGCAGTGTCCTAGCAGATACGTCTCCCTCGAAGGATGATGATATTAAGAATGGAAAGAGTGTGTATTCAGCTCCACAGAATTCAATTTCAATCCCTTCTAGGAGTAATGTGCTTCAAGCCTGCACCATCACTTCTGGGTTGATAGCTGCTTTGGGTTTAATAATTAGACAGGTTTGCTTCAGCACGCTCAATCACTAGCTTGATTTTGATGTTCTTATCCTTTGCTTTTAGACCCCCCCTTTTTTCTAGTTTATGTCCATCACTTGTTTCCTAGCTTAAGAAACTTGAGTTTCTTTAGTTTACATGTCCGAACCAATGAGTTTGTGACTTTAATTTTTCTTAACTCGGTAAATCACTCTGTAAGATGTATATCCTAATTGTAATCTGCAGGTGTCACATGTTGGGTCGATGGAAGGATTGCCTATTCTTGACTGCTCCATGGAAGTATCATGTATAGTATTTTAAGCTTCCTTCCTAAATGTTTGTTCAAACTTCAAAGTTGGTTTCTTTTCATCTTTTTCTTCCTTTATGTTTAATTTGATGGTATTGCATGTCCATAGAAAGAGATGGCCCTTCAAAAAAAATTTTGACTGCTCAAGAACAACTCTGATAATCTAAAATATTGTCCTAATTCAGCATCAAAGTTTGTGGCCTGTTGGGTTAAATGGACTTTAATGTAGGGTAAGAATTGGCCTCAAATCATATTAGAATTGGTGACAAATTGTAAAACTGGTTGAAGCTGCACAGATGAGGAGGCCGTGGATTGCCCTGTTCAAAAAATTTTTTATATGTGGCATAGTGAAAATGGCAGCCTAAAGTTCAGCTTTAGCATCTCTTGTGGAATGGCATAGTGTAGTCTAGTCTGGAAGTGCTTCTTCAAATGAAGAATATGTCTCTAGATACAGCTTAACTATTAGAGAAGATTCAACAATGACTATTGTTGATTAAGGTTTCAATGACAGGAGTTTCACCATACTAGTAACTCTAATTGATTGACCAAATTCCTCTTTTCCATGGAGAGAAAGAGAGAAGAAAAGAAGGGAAGGGCAGAGGAAGTTTGAATCGAGTGCTGGAAATGTTTCTCATTTTTATCTCTGTGTATATGTTTTGATACTTAATTCATTAAAATTTAGGAGAATATCTGTCACATGCTGAAATTAAACTGTTAATTCCGCATAGAACTTGAAACAAGGGTTCGTTACTAACATCCCTAGGTAATGCAAATGCATTCAGTTGTTAAAATTATGAAAAATTGGTTTGATTCTTTCTAGAACAGTTTAGGTCCATTGTTGTATGAAGAAGACAGGATTCTATTTTGTTATAAAATACTCTATTTTTAAGGTTTCGTATGGAATGTGTTTGAGCATGCAAATAATCATGTTTGTTCTAGTATGCTATTGGCGGTGGGGTGGGGGGAATTTGGCCTCTCATATGCCAAACAGAATCACAGCTTCTCCAACTGTTTGCAGTTGGTTTTGAGATGTGGCATCTTGAGTTGATCACTGGATTGGTTATGCTAATTTCTTCATGCCGATACGTACTATTGAAGACATGGCCTAATTTTGCTGAGTCAAGTGAAAAAGCCAATCAGCAGGTATGTAGCCTACTCAGTTTCGTGCCTTTGTCTTTACCTAGGCTTCTACTATAGTTGTAGTTGTGGTTCAGGTTTTAGGTTAGCCTATTAGCATTTGAATAACTAAAATCACGTTGAGCCAAGGAGTGGTCTGGCATTTGTCTACAGAACCTGTTAGGATCAGATTATCTCTTAAAAACTACTTATGTTGTTGAGATGATCCAATCACTTGAATCTGGTTCTACTTCCACTATACTTTTGTGATCTTTCTGTTTGTAACATATGCTGATCTTTGACTTCTTTGCTGAACTCCAAAAACATCTTTCTTCATTTTGCAGGTTCTTTCTTCCCTACAACCTTATGATTACCTAGTTGTTGCATTTTTGCCTGGGATGAGTGAGGTAGTGGAAAAACTGTTTCAATTACCGTCAACTCTTTTGTTTTCTGAAGTTCAGATGTGCTATATTCCTTACTAGCTGAATGTGTGCAATGTCCAGGAACTCCTTTTTCGCGGCGCACTGCTCCCAATTTTTGGATTGGACTGGAAGAGTGTCCTAGTTGTTGCCACCCTTTTTGGTGTTCTACACTTGGGCAATGGGAGAAAGTATTCCTTTGCAGTGTGGTATGCATCTAGCATCTTACTGATTTAAAGCTAGATATCTTCCAAATAACATCATGAAATTTCCTTTTTTATACAAAATAACATCATGAATTTCTTTTTCGTGTTTTGCTTGTTAAAATTATTGTTCATTTCTGCTACAACGGCTGCAAATATGTGGAAATATTTGAGAATGGAGGCTTGTGGAAGTTTCTAATTCTTGGCTGTGTATTAGAATAATCTTTAAACTTTAGTTCTACTACTTTATACGATCATGATTTGGTGTATATTCCTGTTCCAGGGCAACCTTTGTTGGGATTGTGTATGGTTATGCAACAATCATATCCTCTAGCGTTGTCGTGCCCATGGCTTCTCATGCATTGAACAACCTAGTTGGAGGGATTCTCTGGCGCTACACATCAAAGTCGTTGGAGTGAGAATGAGAATTAAATGCCATTTGGATTTAGTCGCATGATCTATTTCAATGACCTAAGATTGATTTAGATTGACAACAAGAAGTTCTCTTTGTATAAACAAGGTGCAATTTTTTCATTTACCTTTGTTATGGGAAACGATTTTATGCTTTGTCATTTTTCTTAGGTCTCATTTTTTTTATTAAAATTGAGTAAATTTAATTTTAAATTCGATATGATTGACAGGAAAAGGACAAAAAAATTTATAAAAATAATATAATTTAAAATTTTGATAAAAATTATATGTAAATTTAATAAAAAATATATTTTATACTTAACGTACGAAAACAAATTATATTATTTACATATTTAATACAAAATAAACATGATGCGAAAATTCCACCATCAAATCTGTTATAAAAGGGTCCATAATCCTACAGTCCCTTTAAAGCTGTTTTTTTTTTTTTTTTTGACAAAAGTCAAGATTTTATACCGAGTAAATTGAGGAAAGGCGTTGTCACCCTGTTAGTTGAAACAGAGTGAAAATAAAAAGGGCAAGAAGAAAATGAAATGGGAAGATGCCGTGTCTCAGACGAGTTTGATCCGTGGGGAAAATCAAATCTTTTTTTATTTCACCATCCACCTTTAAACCCATGATATAAATTCAATCACCTTTGAATTATGTTTCAGATCCTCATCATAATCATCAATCAATTAATCTACAAAAAACTCTGTTTCATTTCCTTACACTTTCCTAGTTATTCTTCAATCATGTCATCTGTAAGATTCTCTTCCTCTCCTTTCTTTTCTCCCAGAACCTCTTTTTCTTTCCGGGTTTTTTGTTCTCTGTTTCTTTTTTCAGTTTCATTATCAAATCAGTTTGACAATTGACAGGTTTTCTCTTCTTTTTTAACACATTCTTTTCTGGAAACAAATGAAACCCGGAAAGAGTAATCAAAGTGGAATGTCATCATTGTCCCAAAAACTTTTCTTTTCTTTTTTTTTTGGCTTTGATTTGATAACTATTTGTTATTCTTCCATGTTTTCAGCATTACAAGGCACAGCCTCTGCCAAAATTTGGTGAATGGGATGTAAATAATCCAGCGTCAGCTGAAGGATTTACTGCCATATTTAACATAGCAAGAGATGAGAAGAGGACTGGTGGGAAAGTCAAGGTTGAGGCTGTAAAATCACAGCAAAAGCGTGGTGCATATAAGGAGAAAAGCAAACATAAATTTTCCATTAAGGTTAGACCGTTATAAAAAGATTCTTGGGATTCAATCAATGTTCATCTCACATAATAAATCTCTTGATTTACTAACTTCCTTTTCTTTCAATCCAATGCAGAGAAAATGGTTTTGCTGTGCTTGAAAGCTGAATTGAAATCACTCAACAAAACTTTTATGACAACAACAACTTGCTGCAGAAATCCTTTAGTTGATACTTGATAGTCATTTTTGTTGGCAATCCTGTTTTCTTTTCTTTTCTCTTCTGATTGCTTTCCTTTTTTAGAGCATAGTGTCTCCATGTTTCTCATGGAATTTTTCTGCGCACTTCCTTTTTTTTTTTTTTTTTTTTTCGTGTTTTCCTTGTGGAAGGAGGCTATTGTAAAGCTACAATTTTGCACATTTTCATTTGGGATGGCTTTTGACTCTGTTAGTACTTATATTTCATTGTAACAAATACAAAAAGAGAGGCTTGGTTATGGTTCTATTGCAGACTAAATTGGGTGAGATCCAATACCATTAAATTCAAACATAAGCTCCCAATATTCCAATACTCATTTAAGATTTCTAAAGCTTTAATTAGATTAAAAATTTGTATATTTCAAGTCATATTTATTTTGTATCAAATATATATAAAATATAAAAATTTTATATCATAGTTAAATATGAATATATCAAATAGTTTCATACAATATGCTTATATCATACCTAAAATTATCCGAATCCACCTTTAATCTTTAATCATTTAATCCGAAGAAAGCTGAGAAAGAAGCTTCGTCCAGGTCAAAAGTAAAACAATGATGTTGACTCGTGAACTATGAGCTTGTCATCATTCCGAAAAAGGCCACGTGTTATATCTTGGACACAATGGGAGTCCTTGTTTTCGGCAAATGTAGGCAGCTTTCGTTAGTCAATTGGTCAAAAAAAGCTATCACGAGGAAATGGAAACGATGGAGATTCGTAGGGGAAAACGAGGACACTGCTGTGTTTTTCCCATCCAAAGACTTGTCAAAATCTACTCTTTTTCCTTATCTTGTTTTGCACTTTACATTATGTCATGAAAATGAAGAATTACAACATCAATTCCTTTATTTGATCGGCTACCAAAAAACTATGGCAAGCTGTGCCATCGATGGTGGCTGCCCCTCCGACTATGTAGCCGTTGTCACAGCCATCTGCTCCATGATTTTGTAAGTTCCTTTTCTTTATTTCAATATTTACTAAAAACCCATTTGACGTAACTCATAAAAATTCGTTTTGAAGTTAAAGTTCAATTTGTTTTAGATGGGCAGTTTTGTTTGGCGATCATATATTTGATGTTATGCCTCAGTGAGTGGGATTTATTTTTCTTTTCAATCTGTTTATATTTCTGACTTTTGCCTTTCTTTTTTTTTTTTCTTTTTCTTTTTTTGCAGACTTATTCTCAAGTCTTCTTTTCCGTTTTTGATACACAAGGTTCCCCGTGCCAAAGGCAGTTCCTTTTGGATTCCAGTCATTCAAGTTATTGCCAGCTTCAACTTTCTATTATCAATTGTGGTAAGGCAATATAGACGTCAATTTCCTTGTTTTTTTTTTTTTTTTTTTTATAAATGACTTCATTATTTGTTAGTTTTAAATTGTTAATCATATGCTTTTTACAGATGTCGGGTAATTTCCTTAAATACAGAAAGAGCCATTGGTGGCTGTCTTGCTATGTTTGGGGAGGTTATAAATCTCTAATCACTTCTCGGTTTACTTTACATTTTTTCCATGAAATAGTCTGAAGTATGTTTTGCTTTCAGTATGGGTTGAAGGTCCACTTGGATTTGGTTTGTTGATGAGCTGCCGCATAGCACAAGTCTTTCAACTATACTATGTTTTTGTCAAGTAAGTGGGTATTCTTCTATTTGAGAAATTTTAAGACAGATAGCAAAGACTGAAAATGTAGAAATGATTGACTTATGGACCTTTTTATCTCTTATCTTAATCCAGGCAGTAACATGATGTTGGTTAAATTGTTCAGAAATGTTTGGTTCTGTTAATTTTCTGTGAAATGGTTCAGTGATAGGTCCTCATCTAATTTTTGAATCAATAAATTTAACTGCATTTCTTTTTCTTTGAAACTTTGCTACATGCTGTAGAACAAATTGGCATACGCTTAACCCGATAATTATTAGATTACGCTGCAAGACCACAAGTTTGCATCACATTGCAGTGTTTAGTTGTTGCAAAGGTATTATTATATGTTTAAACATGCCATTTTAGCAAAATTTGGTTAATTTGTATGCTGTCAATTTTTCCAGGAGGCGTTTACCACCAATTAGATCTCATATTTTTCTTCCACTGATTCTGTTGCCATGGATTGCTGGTGCTGCATGTAAGAATCTTAGAAACCTACCTATTTTATCAAGTTGAGCATACTGCAATGAAGTTAAGCTGCCTTTTTAGCAAAAGTTTCTCCAAATGAGTTTTTTCATCTGTTATCTAAACTTACACATATTGTTAACAGATATCTTGAATTAATATATGCAATTACAAATTTTAGGCAGCTTAAAAATAATTTGCTTGCTTAACTGTCCTTTAGTCATTTATTAGCTTCATGTTTTTAACAAAACGCATGAAACCCGTAAACTACCATGTGAAAGTGACAGGTGCAAATAACACTACATCACTCAAGTCATTCCTGCTTTTTCTAAATATCTTGTCTAGATATTTGCTAATTTACACTCTTGAATTTAGGGATCTATCATTAATCTTATTTATGACAATTCTTTTGACTCTTCTCTGCTCTCACTCCACTGTGATTGCTATTTTTAACTAAAGGAGTTATTGTACTGTAGTTATTCATGGGAAGAAGCCTCTCAATTACAGATGTCACTTGGAAACATACTGGATAATTCCAGTTGTATGTCTCCATGCATCCTATGTTGCTGTTTTGGTCGGGTTCACAGGGGCAATTCGGCATATAGAGTTTAGGTTTGATGAACTCAGAGACCTATGGCAGGGAATACTCGTCTCAGCCTCACTAATTGGTACATTTTTATCTCAGTTCCACACAAGGCTTACATTTCCTTCTGTTTGCTCTGCATATTTTGTGCATTACATTATCATCACTAATAAAGGAATCCACAGTTTTTTACATTATCATCGCTGACAAAGGAATCCACAGTTTTTATGCTCAATGCTGGCAAGAAATTAGTGCTATTCTTTTAAGTGATCCAGTGGAACAAAAAGTCTATGGATAATCTGATTTCATGATTGAAATTGATTATTATCATGATTTTTATGGATTTTAAAAGCATTTCTCAAGGAAGATTATACATTCTCCAGAGCTGAAAACTCTGCAAAACATTTTTCATTTTGTCAAACTCAAAAGATTAGTTGCAAACAGCTTACATGCAACTGAGATGCTTTAGCATTTGTTAACATCTGATTGGAAACATAAATTGTGGTTGTGATCTTATATATGCTCTTCCTGTAACATTCATGATTCAACTATATGCTCCTTCTTCCTAAAGTCCCCATAGTGCAAAGTACTATGTAGTTGAAACTGTGGGAACTGTGAAAAATTTAAATTTTCAGCAACAGGATTTGATGCAACAAATTATGATACATTGTTTTTCATGGGGGGCTAGGGTTTTAAGTTAAATTATAATCTGAAGTTCTTAAGAAAATTGGAAATTTTGAATAAAGAAAAGAAAAACTTAAGACTCTTAATAGAAGACTAATAAACTTGGCTTAATTGTTAGAATTAAGGTTTTGGAGAACTAGATACTAATCCCTTGGATTAGCATTTCATTATATAGACAATATTAAGGAAAGAGAATCAATTACAAATTACACATTAATGCTCCCAATTAATCCTTCCTAAACTGTCTTCCATGGAATATTCCTGTAATATTCCAACTCACACACATACGCATGCATTAACACTCCACCTCAAGCTGGAGCATATATATCAGTCATGCTCGGCTTGTTACATATATAGTCAACTTGAACTCCTGGAAGTGATTTCATAACCATATCAGCTAGTTGTTCCCCTGTGTGTACATGCTTCAATAATTTTGTTCCACTCTGCAACTTTTCCTTGATGAAATGACAATCAACTTCTACATGCTTGGTTCTTTCATGAAATAATGGATTGGAAGCAGTATGAATTGCTACTTGATTACCACACCATAACTTCGTAGAAGTCCGAACTGAAAGCCCAATTTCATCTAAGAATTTAACCATCCATAATACCTCTGTTGTAGCCAAAGCCATGGCTCTATATTCTACTTCTGCGCTAGACCTAGCAACTACTTGTTCCTTCTTGCTCTTCTAGGACACTAGATTACTCCCAAGGAAGATAGCATAACCAGATGTAGATTTCCTATCTATTGAAGAGCCTGCCTAATCTGCATCTGCATAGGCTTGAATACCCCCATCACTAGTAGAACTATAGAGTACCCGTTTTTTAGGATTTCTCAACAAAAATTAGAGGATGTGTATCACTACTCTCCAATCTCTAGAAGCTACCATGAATTAACTAACCACACTCACTGGAAAAGATATATCAAGTCTCGTCATGGTCAGGTAATTCAACTTCCCATTAGTTTTCTGTAAGGTGTGGGATCATCAAGTAAAGTGCCATCTTTTGGAGAAAGCTTGATACCTGGATCCATCAGTGTGTCACTTGGCTTGGCATGGAACAAGCCTACATCTCTCACAATAACCAGCACATATTTCCTCTGAGATACAAAGATTCCCTTTTTACACCTTGCCACTTCAATACCTAGAAAATATTTAAATTGACCGAGATCCTTGGTCTCAAGTCAATCCCTGCACTATCACTATCAGTGATGATGATATCATCTACATACACTCCCAACAATGTAAGGCCAGCACTCTTAGATATATAAAATACTGAATGATCCTTCTCACTCTGCCGTATGCCATACTGAACAAGAACTACACTAAATTTGCCGAACCATGTGCATGGAGATTGCTTCAGGCTATACAGAGACCTACGCAAATGGTACCCCTTCCCAGACTCCCCCTAAGTAACAAACCCTGGTGGTTGCTCCATATGTACCTCCTCAGCCAAATCACCATGTAGGAAAGCATTCTTCACATCCCATTGATGTAATGCCCATCTATGCGTAGCAACAAAACTGAGAAATAGGCGAATAGATATCATCTTTGCCACTAGTGAAAAGGTATCAAAATAATCTATTCCATCTGTCCGTGCATATCCCTTTGCTACTAGGCTTGCCTTCAATCTAGCCAATGAACCATCAAGATTCTATTTTGTAGTGTAAACCCAATTGCACCCAATAGCTTGCTTCCTTCTGGTAAGGGAAACCAAGTCCCATGTATGGTTGGCCTCTAGGGCCATCATCTCATCCTCCATAGCCTTACGCCATCCTGAATCTACAAAAGAATCACGAAAAGTATGCGACACAGTAATAGCATCAATTGTAGCAATACAAATTTGAAGTTGAGTAGAAAGTCCTTTGTACGAAGGTGTTTGTAAAGGAAAATTTTTGCAAGTTCGCGTACCTTTTCGTAGAGCAATCGATACATCCTCATCCATAGTGTCTTTAGGTGAATTCATCGATGGAGAGATTGTCTTGATAGGGAAAGTTTCTACAGGCGAATCTATGCAAGTCTGTCTAGTGTACATACGACTAAATCGAGTATCAGGACATGCCTCAGAAGGAGATGCATTGACCGGTGTACTATTTATCTGATAGATGAGAAAATCTTCTTTTCTGATGAGATAGGTGATGAATGAGATTGTAGTACCAAAGGAAAAGGAACTAACTCATGAAACACAACATCTGCTGAAATAATAAAGCGACCTAGGTCTGGAGAGTAACATCGATACCCTTTTTGGACATGTGAATAACCTAGGAAGATACACTTAAGTGAATGTGGGTCTAATTTAGTGCTATTTGGACGAGTGTTACGAACAAAACTTGTGCACCCAAATACCTTGAGTGAGATTGGAAATAAGGGACAATCAGGACATAATACTTGAAGAGGAACTTTTCCTTCAAGGGCCGAGGATGACAAACGATTTATAAGATAGCATGCTGTGAGGACAGCTTCACTCAAGAACACCTTAGCGACCTTCATTTGAAACAAAAGAGCTCTTGCCACTTCCAACAAATGACGATTCCTCCTTGCAGCAAACCCATTTTGCTATGGGATATCTGAACACGATGATTGATAAATAATACCTTTTGTATTTAGGAATTGAACAAACTATGTAGAAAATAAGTCTCCCCCATTATCACTCCGTAAAATTTTGATAGACTTACCGAATTGATTCTCTATTTCTGCATGAAGGGTAGTGAAGATAGAGAATAATTGAGTGGCTTCGCAACAAATAAAACCAACAAACTTGTGAATAATTATCAACAAATGTCACAAAGTATCTATAACCAGATTTCGAAATAATAGGCCAAGGCCCCCATATGTCAGAATGAATCACAGCAAAAGGAAACTTTTCTCTTTTATAAAATCAAGGTCGTTAGGGCATTCTGTGCAATTTGGCAAACTTGCACCATTCACAATCAAAACCAAATGACAATAAATGGGGACACATAGCTTGTAAAGTTAACATGGATGGATGACCAAAACAACAATGAGACGTATAAGCTGATGACGGTTCTCCCGAGCACACCATTAGTCCAGACTGTATCTTCTGTATATCTTCAAGCACATACAATCGCCCCCCTATCAATAGTCTGCTTTGTCAACAGATCCTGAAAAACACGATAAGTAGGAAAGAAAGAGACACTACAATTCAAATTCCTTGTAATTTGATTAACTGAAAGTAAGTAAACAGGAAAAGAAGGGACATGCAGCACAGAATGTAAAGGTAACGTAGATATAGGTTGAGCCTTGCCACTTCCCAAAATATCTATAGAGTTCCCATCAGCAACCAAATTAGACTGTTTACCCGTAATAGGAGTATATGAATAAAGAGTACTTGTAATACTTGTCATGTGATCCGATGCTCTTGAATCATTCTCCCAAGTCTTGGAGGGGGTAGACAGGCATGCAGTAGATTTACCTTGTATAAAAGTTGCTGTCAAAGAAGAGATTGAATTCTGATTCTGAAGCATTTGAATAAGCCTGTCGTTCTCATCCTGGGATAATTGAACTCCTTTTTCCTCTTGTTACTGGGGCTGAAGCTCAGCATTAGTCACATATGATGCTAGTGGGCCAGAATTGCCCCGAAAGTGTAGACAAACATTCTGTAAGTGTCCCTACTGTCAACAATGATAGCAAGACCGTGGGTCTCCTCTACCACCTCCATGTCCTCTACCTCATTCACCACATCCTCCGCGTGGTGGTCACCCTTCATGTTGTGGGGCCACAAATACGGCCTCGTATTCCTGTGGAGGATCATGTTGGGTGACCCTGTTCAGGCACTTATAAGCATCCAGTAAAGAAAGTGGATTTTTTCCCTCTAACATCTGAGTACTAGCACTGGCATACTCCTTCCTCAATCCTGCTAAGAAAAACACTACAGCTAGAGCCTCTCATTGCTCCCGGTTTGTCTTCAAATGTGTAGACAAGAGCATGAGTTCATTAAACTCGTCATAGACCTACTTGAACGTAGCAAAATATTCCCTTAGGCCCCTATCAGACTTTTCCATTCTAGTCCATGCCCTGGTAACATCTAAGATCTTTTATCAATTTTTAAAGCATTCCAAAGTTCCTTGTGAGGTATTGATTGAATATCACCTTGACTCGTTGTTCAATCGAGTTGAACAATTGTCCAAGTACTCGATTGTCCTCTTGCTCCCACGCTGCATGTTCTGAGTTTTCCTTTGTTGGTGGTTTACTTATCAGAAACTGAGCCTTTCCATGACCTCGTAAGGTCACCAATATAGTCTTGGTCCATGACAAGTAGTTGGAGCCATCAAGTTTCTCATCCGATAATTGTAAGCCCATGATAATCTCCCGAGTTATCACCTTAGATGCGGTAGCCTCTTCCTTGGCCATGGCCAAATAACCTTCTTCCTTCAAAACACAACTGGTAATCCTTCAATCAGGGAACACAACACCTACTCAACAACTAGGAACTCCATCCCTATTTTTGCAACCATGCTCTACACCCGGAAAAACTTGTCTCCCTTAATCTATCATTCAGAAGAGGTTGCAACCCCTTCTTCTTGCCCTCTTTGAGAATAAGGGGGCTGCCCCCTTTCAACTGATGAGGCACTACTGAAGAGGAAGGAAAGGCTTTTAGTACATAGTTTTAGGGTGGCAAGATCAAAGTCTGCGGTAGCAACTGCTTGGGTGATGGCGTAAGGGCTATCACAAAGGGGTTTGGGGAAAGAGAGAGAGAGAGTGGGCAGCAGCAGCTAGGGTTGCACTGCTAGCTCTAGTACCATAGTAAGGTTTTGGAGAACTAGATACTAATCCCTTGGATTAGCCTTTCATTATATAGATAATACTAAGGAAAGAGAATCAATTATAAATTACAATTAATCCCTTCTAAGCTGTCTCCCAAGGAATATTTCCATAATATTCCAATTCACACTCATGCATACACTAACATTAATAACAATACTTAGTAGGATAAACAAAACAAACTATGATAGTAAACCCTAATATAGATGTAAAATACCTAATATAACCCTAGATCTATAAAATTACAATTAAGCCCCATAACAAGACTAACAAAATAAAATCTTAAGTAAGCTAATCCCTCAAATAGCTTATTAGGGTTCTGCATCAGTTTTCTTGTGATTGTTTCTGATGATATCTCCTTTGTATAACTATATTGACCTTCATTTTCTTCCTTGTGCTCTTATATATGTCCTTTTCAGGAGTTTGGGTTTCTGCTTTCATCTTGAATGAAGTTCATGATGATATCTCATGGCTTCAAGTGGCCTCCAGATTTATTCTTTTAATTGTGGTATGTTTTGTCATTGATTTGTTCCTTTGCCTCTTGATGGGTTTGCCTGCATCATTAGTCGGTTGACATACAAGTTATTGAAGACTTATGTTTTTTGTGTGTTTGCTAACATGATTCAGGTATGTTTCACAGGCAAGTATTCTTGTACCGGTTTTCTTTTCCATATCAATTTCACAGCCTCTGCTCTCACAAATCAGCTTGAGGAAAAGGGAACCTTTAGAATTCAAGACAATGGGTCAAGCTCTGGGCATACCAGATAGTGGACTGCTATTGCAAAGAGAACAAGCTGTTGTCATTGATCCTAATGAACCATTGGATAAGCTTCTTCTTAACAAAAATTTCCGTCGGTCTTTTATGGCATTTGCAGACAGGTACTTCATACTTCCCTAAGCTCCAATTAATTAGCTTTTCTTTTGGTGGTTGGTTACTTTTTGTGGTATTTTTATTGGATTTGAAAAGAAAAAGAAAAAATTTCATGGTGAAAAGAGATTTTTCATTTTTTTAATAGATTGTTTCTTGAAATAGTGCATTGTCACATTGCCAGTCCCAAGCTTGGATAAAGGAGGAGGCTTGCAATAGGTTGACAGCTAGTGTAAAACATGGTCAAACCATGATGAAAGACCAAAACAAGAATTCTCGTTGGGTTGTCACCTTCCAGCGACATGCTACATCGAAGCCTAGATGTAGCGTTAAATATGCAAGGGTTGCTAGGTCGCTGCCCGGGTGCAGTGTCTAATAGGCAAGGGTTCTCGTGTTTTGGTGGATGAACATAAGTAAAGAAGTTAGTCCATAGGAGTAAGTTACACTTAGCTACTTGGAATATAGGATCATTAACTGGTAAGCTTGTAGAGATAGGAGATGCAATGGCTAGAAGGGGAATTAATATTATGTGTCTCCAAGAAACTAAGTGGGTAGCGGAAAAGGCTAGAGAGGTAGAACCGTGGGGCTCTAAGCTTTGGTACATAGGGAACGAGAGGGGTAGAAATTGAGTGGGGATAATTATTGATAAGAATTTAAGGGATGATGTGGTTGAGGTTAAAAGAAAGGGAGATAGAATTTTACTTGTTAAACTTCTTTTAGAAAAGGTAATTGTTAACATCATTAGTGCCTATGCCCCGCAAATAGGTTTGGATCAGGAGAGCAAGCAAAAATTTTGGGAAGACTTAGACGAGGTAGTGTGAACTGTACCATACGGAGAAAACTTGTTTATTGGAGGAGACATGAATGATCATGTAGGCAAGGATGGTAATGACTTTGAGAGGGTAAATGGGGGATATAGCTTTGGACAGAGAAACGAAATTGGACAGGCTATCCTAAAGTTTGCTGCTGCATTTGACCTAACGATATTAAATATGTGTTTTAGGAAAAGGGATCACACTTAGGGACATTTAGGAGTAGATCAAATGCTAGTCAAATTGATTTCTTTTTTTATGAGGAAAAATGATAGAAATAGTTGTAATTATACCATGTGAGAGTGTGGCCACACAACAGACTGTTAGTACTTGATCTATTCCACCTCAAGGGGTCAAAGAAGAGACATCAGAGTCATGGACCACGTATTAAGTGGTGGAACTTGAAGGGGGACAAAATGGTAGCATTTTGGGATAGACTAGTAAAAGAAGTTGATTGGAGACCTGATGAGGATGTAGAAGTGATGTGGGAAAATATTACAACCAAAATTCAAAAGGTTGCTAAAGAGACACTTGGGGAATCTAAGGGAAAGGCAACATTAGAAAAAGAATCTTGGTGGCGGAACGAGGATGTGAAAAAGGCAATTAAAGCTAAGTGGGAGTATTATAAATATTTATGGAACAATAAGGATGAGGAGAGTTATTGAGAGTATAAGACAACAAAAAAGTAAACCATGAAGGTTTTTCAAGACTCAAAAAGTAGGATTCATGAGAAGTAAACTAGAGACAAGAGTTGGAGAAAAAGAACTATTCAAAATTGCTAAAATAAGGGATAAGAAGAGTAGAGATCTTAATGGCGTTAGATGCATCAAAGGCAAGAACAGAAGAGTTTTAGTGAAGGATGAGGAGATTAAAAAGAGATGAAGAGATTGTTTTGATAATCTCTTTAATAGTAGTTTTAAGCATGATATAGATAGGTTAAACATACCTTTTCAAGATGTAAATCATGTGGTTAAGCGTAATATTAAAAATTATGAGGTTAAAGAGACTTTGAGAATGATGAGATTAGAGAAAGCTGTAGGACCAGATGGAATCCCGATTGAAGTCTAGAAATGCTTGGGTGAAATAGGGATAAGATGGTTGGCGGATCTTTTCAATAAAATTTGGCATACCCAAAAGATGCCAAAAGAATGGAGGAAGAGCACTCTTGTGCCTTTATACAAGAATAAAGATGATGTACAAGATTGTTCTAACTATTGAGGAATAAAACTTATGAGTCATACTATGAAACTTTGGGAGAGAATAATTGAATGTAAGTTGCAATGTGAGGTCACTATTTTCAAAAATTACTTTGGGTTTATACGAGAACACTCTACAATAGAGGCGATCTACCTTTTGAGGCTTTTAATGGAGGGTTTTCGAGTGAGAAAAAAAATCTACATATGGCATTTATCAACTGAGAAAAAGTATATGATAGTGTTCCTTAAGAGATACTTTAGTGGGCCTTAATGAAGAAGGAGTCCCTTTAAAGTACATCAACACATTTAAAGATATATATGAAGGAGTGGTAATGAATGTGAGGACAGGTGGAGGCATGACAGATAGCTTTCCTATTACCTTAGGATTACATCAAGGCTGAACACTAAGTCCTTTCCTTTTTGCATTAGTTATGGACGAGCTCACTGGACATATCTAAGATAAAGTATATTATTTGCCAACGATATAGTCTTAGTTGCTGAAACTTGTGATGCCCTTAATACGAAATTAGAATTATGGAGGAATACATTGGAGTTTCGAGGTTTTAAATTGAGTAGATCTAAAACTGAATATATGGAATTCAAGTTTAGTAGTTGTAAGGAAATGGGTACTAGTGTGATTAAGTTGGATGGTGAGGAAGTACCAAAAAGTAGCCAGTTTCGATATTTGGGATCAATTATTTAGAGTGACACTGAAATAGAAACAGATGTCAAACATAAGATTCAAGTGGGATGGGCGAGGTGGCGAAGTGCGTCGGGTGTGTTGTGTGATCGCAACATACCTTTAAAGTTAAAAGCGAAGTTGTATAAAACAACTGTAAAGCCTGCATTACTATATGGAACTAAGTGTTAGGCTGTTGAGAAACAACGTGAGAAGAAAATAAACGTAACGGAGATGAGAATGCTTAGATGGATGTGTGGTAAGACTAGAGGAGACAAAATTAGAAATGAAAAGATTCGAGAAAAATTAGGGGTAGTCCGAATTGAAGAGAAGATTAGAGAGGGCCGATTGCGATGGTTTAGACATGTGAAACTTAGGCCTAGCTATGCACCAATTAGGAGAATTGAGTCTCTAGATCTAGTAGAGATCAAAATATCTAGAGGTAGACTGCAAAAAATATAGATGCAAGTAATAAAAAACAATATGATGGTTAAGGAATTAGATGAAAAGGTGGTTGTTGATAGAAATGAATGGTGCAAGAAGATTCAAACTACAACCTAACTTGATTCTCTTATTGGTTTTTCATATAGCTAACCCCAGAGTATAGGATATAAGGTTTACTATGTTGTTGTTGTTGTTTATTGTTTCCTGAAGCTTGGCAAAGAAACCAAAGAATTCTTTTTTGTGTGTTTCGTAGTGATTCAATTTGCATATAAGAAACTAGTTGAATTGAAAAGTTTCTATCATCGAAAAGAAAAACAGAGGAAAATGGATTTCCCTACAAAATTTATTCACTAGTGTAAACTCTAGAACACATTGTTTATGACCTTAAAAGGCTAAAAGAAAAATTAATTTATTTCTTCTTGATCACAGTTGTTTGGCTGGGGAAAGCGTGCATTTCTTTGAAGAGGTGCATGAGCTTGGCAAAATTCCAATAGATGACCCTGTAAGAAGGATCTACATGGCACGCCATATCATTAATAAATACATAATTGCAGGTTTGTTATTCTTATTTTTGAGGAAGCACTGCACTAAAATTTAGTTTTTCAGTTTTTTCTCTGTTTTATTTTCAGTCTTTCGTCTTGTGCTAGAAGTTCATATAACTTCAACAATATCTTTACTATCCTTCAAATATAGAAGATTGCCTCTCTTAAGAAGAAATTCTTCCGTTGCAGGGATATATTGATAGATGGTTCAAATTTTAATGTTTGTTGTGAGTTCGGACTTTTAGAAAGTTACTTACTGAGAAGTGATGTTATGTGCCGATATTGCTAAATTGAGTAATTGAGATATTTTAACATGGAAACTCTGAAGAAACTGGTTTACCATGGTTCACCCAACATAGAGAATGCATGTGGAATACTTCCACTCCATTAAACCATTACCATCTAGAAACAATCTTATGACTAATGAGCCTATAGTTGCTAGTCATTGAAAAGCAAAGATATATGCCATTTAACATTTTCTATATCTCTTTAAAACTAACCTTTTACTGTTATCAAACAGGCTTCTGCTTCTAAGTCCTTATTTCAGTCCAAATTATAAAATTCTTGAATTACTGCAGATCCACCCAAACTTGATTTTAGATCAGGCCTGTCCTCTGGTTGGACAAATTAGGTAAACATATTGGTGAAGTGCATATATTTGTAATGGAAGAAATTAAAACAAGATTTTATTCTCTATTTTCATCAAAGAAGAATTTTGTTTCATAATGTTGTGTGGTGAAACAGTCAACATCCATCGAGGGAACAAATAGTCTGGTATCAATCTTCTGTGATCATTTTGTCCATGAAGCTTGATTTTTAACATGTTGCTTAATAATTGGCATCTTATTTACCTTCCAAGTTATGCCTTTATACAATTTCCTAGCCAACTTTGTCATACAGGTGCAGCAATGGAAGTTAACATATCTCATAGAATCCGGCAAGAAATTTTGACCACCACTGATTTGACTCGTCCTGTTCTCTTTACCAATGCTCTAAATGAACTAATGCAGTTGATGAAAATGGTAGGTTTTTTGCTTAGAGTAAGTAATATTAGTTTAAAACTATATTCATTCATGTCAAAGTAAGCTATATTTTTTACTGTAGAACTTGGGTAAAGATTACTGGTCATCCTTGTACTTCATCAAATTCAAAGAGGAAGCCAGTATGAGATCTAATGGTCACGAGATGGAACAGATGACAGGATATTTCTCTCCCAGATTGAGTTCTGTTCATGCCACTGATGATCCCTTTCAGCATGACCATATTTCGAGGGGCTCTAGCCAAGATATTCATGATTCATACCCACAATGAACTAAGATTTGTAAATTGCCATTATGTTTACTGTAAATTCATATCACAAATGGGCATGAATGAATGATTTTGTAAAAGGGTTCGACTCTAATCCATTACTTTTTTAACTTACACCATCCAATACATCTAAAACAGTCATTAGATTGGCATATCAGTGTGCGAGACTTTCATTATGCTTCTCTTAATTTCGTCTGTTTCCCATCTTCAAATCCGTGGTGATGATCGTTCTTCTTTGTAGGATGGTGCGAATATGTGATAACCCTACATTTTATCCACGCGCCAACCACTTCTAGCAGCATATCTTAAAGTTCCAGCTTCCGAAACCCGTATAGCTGGACATCTATGCCTCGGTGGGACAAGACTTTAACCTCAACTTCGAACTTTTATGCTTTGTAGCAAATTTAGGGTGGATCCGAGCATTTGGGTCATGCTGTCTCTTCTTAAGAAGTCGGGTTTAAATCTTTCACCGTTAAAATAAAGTTAATAGCACATATGATTTTTAAATTTTAAATCAAATTTTATATTGATCTTTAAGTTTTAAAAAATTTTAATTAAATTTTTTATTGTTCAAACGTGTATTAATATAATTTTTTTTATTTGTAGGATCATTTAAATTGATGATAAATCTTATATGACATGATATAATTTTTCAAACTTATATTACATGAAATGTTTCAAAGGTTTGAACAAATTACGTAGAGGAAGACCAAAAATTTTTTTTTTCTCCTCTCTTTTCTTCTCCCTACTTCTCATTTTCATCACTAAACTTTCGTATCTCAATCAAATCCTCACCAAGCTCTGGCCTTGGCAACTCCACATGTTTCTTTATCAAAGGCCAAAATTTTCATGTCCTAAATCTTTATCAAAGGCCATAAGTTTCTTCTCCCCACTCTCCTCATTCTCTAAACAGTACTTCTACAGCTTTTTTGCGTCTAAAGTAACCAATTTCAAGAATGCAATCAAAGGCCAAAACTTTCATATCCAAATCCTTGGATTCCAACAAAGTTAAAATTTTGAGAATATTCCCATTATTGACAATTTCATTCACAAAGGGAAATTTAGTAAACTTAATTAGTTCACACAAAATTTTCAAGCAATGGGCAACTATAGAAAACGCCTCATCTTCTTGGATCTGTTTTGTAAAATTTGGGTTGCAAAGGACTTACTATAAAACCGAAAAAGCTTTTGAATTTTAGAATTAAATTCTGTAACTCACGATTAAACCTTTATGAGACTCGATATTCGAATTGAGCCAATAATCGAACCAACTCGTCTTTATTTTTCCATGGCTTTTTCAAACACTTTACCAAGCTTTCGATGCTCTCGAAATCAATCTAGACTTGAATCTCATACTCAAACAAACCAACAACGCAAGAAATGAAGTGAGTCGAGACTTGAAGAGTCAAGAAGCTTCTGAGACCATAACCACAAGTCCTTTCGAGGGTTTCGATGAAAGTTTTAAGGTCAACAAGATATTAAGAGAGAGTAAAAAGATGTGAGATTTTGGAGATGATTGAATTGGACTCTGTTTCAAGCTCAAGAAGAGCGTTAATGACAGATAGACGATGGATGGTCAAAGTTTATTTTTTAAATTTTTTATTTTATGATTTATTTAAAAATGATAAAAAATTTCACGTAATTTATTCGAATAATAAAAAATTTTCACATAATATAAATTTAAAATATTATCTATCATGTCACATAGAATTTATTATTAATTCAGACATTTTAATAGATGAGAGATCACATTGACACACATTTAAATAATTAAAATTTTGATTGAAATTTTTTAAAATTTAAAAATTAAGATAAAATTTGATCTAAAGTTTAAAAATCATGCTCGCTATTAACTATAAATAATAATAATAATAATAAGTTTGGGCTATTGAAAGCCGTTTCCTTTGCTAAATCATGTTCAAAAGACCGGTGATCCAAAATCCCTGCATGTTGTTAGCTGTAAAACTCGATCTATTAGCTGGTCTAGCCAGTAATGTGTATTTGTTTTTTTTTTCTCCTTTTTTTAAAAAAATTAAATATAAAAATTATTTTTTATACTATATATTTTCTGTTATTTTGATGCTTAAAAGAAATAAAATTATTAATTTGTTACTCAAATTTTTATTCAGATATTTACTTTTTGGTACTGACAATTAATATTATCAATCAACTTACTTATACGACATAAATATCCAATAAAACATTTATATGTGTTAAAAAAAATTTAATTAATGTCACATCATCAATTATCATGACAAAATTAAAAATTTTTCAAAAAATTCAAAAAAATAAAAAAGTGAAATATTTTTGAAAAATTATAAAAATTTAAAAACTGCAATATTTTTAAAATTAAAAAATTAAGAAAACTTTTAAATTTAAAAAAAAAAGTCTAAAATTTTTTTAAAAATAAATATTTTAATAAAAATAACTATTTCTTAAAATTGAATAAAAGATTCGAACAAAACTTTTAAAAGTTGGAAATAAAAAAATCCTAAAATTTTTAAAAAATCTATTTTTTTTAAATTGCAACAATTTTTTAAAATTCTTACAATTTTTCATTTTTTTAATCTTACAATTTTAATTTTTATATATTTTTGAAATTTCATATATTTTTAAATTTTATTGGATTTTTTATTAAAATTTTAAGTTTTTTACTTTTTATTTTTCAGTAAATATTTTTAGTTTTTTTTACTTTTTTATTACGTTTTGGATTTTTAAACATTTTAAAATTTTTAAAATGTTCAGAATTTTTTGAAAAATTTTATAATTTTTATTTTTTAAGTTTTTGTGAAATTTTTTTAAATTTTAAGAAAATTTATTTTTACTAAAATTTTTTATTTTTTTAATTTCCCAAAATTTTTTATTTTTTGGATTTTTTATTAAAATTTTTAGATTTTTTTAATTTTAAAATTTTCATAATTTTTAAAAATATTTTAAATATTGTAATTTTTTATAACTTTCTACAATATTTTAGATTTTTAAAATTTTTTTAATTCTTTTAATGTTACTATGATAATTGATGATATAATAGTAATTGATGTATCTCAACATCTTATTAAATATTAATGTCATGTCAATAAATTGACTAATGATATTAATTTAAATTATCAAATCATAATAAAATATAAATATAAATATAAAATTAATAATTTTATTTCTTTAAATATTAAACTACCAAAAATATATACTATATAAATACTGTTTATATTTAACCCTTTTTAATTCTACAGCTCTTACGGATGTCAAGTCACAAGGGAAATCTATACAGGTAAAAGATTTATCTATCAAACTCATCTTGTTCTTAATTTTATTTTTGTGTGTGTGCTTTTTCAAAAAACTTATGTATTAGATAATTCCTTCAGTAATTTATTCAAAAAATAAATAAATAAACTTAAGTATGTAGTAGAAAAAGAGAAGAAAAAAAGTAAAAAAAAGGCTTGTTATTGTAATAAATTGGTCGTCTATCTAGGTATTCAATAACCAGCTACCAAATTGACTTATATAATCACCCGACATGCTGCTTGAAGCTGCAAATGGCAACCGAGTTGCATGATTTTGTTGTGATCTTGGCGATTAGTACGCTAGGTTTCATCTCCCTGTGTAATCCAATCCTCGGTTTTATCAAATGGGCTTGGATTATGTTCTTCAGGTCACCAAAGAATCTCAAGGACTACGGTTCATGGGCTATAGTCACTGGCTGTACTGATGGGATTGGGAAATTCCTGGCGTTTCAACTGGCATCAAAGGGTCTTCACTTAGTCTTGGTTGGGTGAAACCCTTCAAAACTTGAAGCTACCTCAAATGCTATACGTGAAAGATTTGGTGCACAAGTCGAAACCAGAAACGTTGTCATCGACTTGGCTAAATCCAGTGGAGAAGAGATATCCAAGACGATGAAGGATGTTATCAGAGGGCTAGACATTGGTGTTCTTGTAAACAACGCAGGCTTGGCCTACCCCAGTGCCAGATTTTTCCATGAGGTCGATTCGGAGTTGATGGAGAGTATTATAAAGGTGAATATAGAGGGAGCTACCTGGATTACTAAAGCAGTGCTTCCGGTTATGATGAAAAAGAAAAAAGGGGCGATAGTCAATGTTGGCTCTGGTTCCTCTGGTGGCATCTGTTCTTACCCGTTATACACCATTTATGCTGCTACCAAAGCGTAAGTTAATTTCTCTCCTCTTTTACTTTAATGGGTCAACTTGGGTGTCTGAAAAAAACATATTGATTTGAATGCTCCCTGTAAAAGTCCTTTGATGGCTTGAAACTTACAAGCATCCCAATAGCTCTAGAGTCTAAAGATCTGATTATCTGATGTGACTTGTCAATTACCATTTTTAATTTAAAAGAAAGGATCATATGAAATGATTACTCCACATAACTGAAGATAGATCTGCTTCCAGTCTGATCGTTTCATGGGTTTTTGTTAATTCCTGTAATCAGCTATCTTCATTTCATCTCAACCAGATCTAGCAAAAGACAAGATTGGAAGTGAGTTGATTACACCTAATTCTCTTTATCCAAGAGTGGTATTCCAAGCCTAATTGGCTTTTTACGCACCTTTTTCCAATAATGCTTTTCCACTTTGTTCCACTTACTAAAATATCAGAATTATCAGGTTATCAAATGTTACTTGTATATCATTGAAGCGTTTACGTCTTTGTTGCATGCAGAAGAAGAAAACCATTTCTTAGCTTGCTTGTGTCTTTAAGAAAACATATAGTTGGAGAAAGGTTTTTTCTTCCTTGTCTTTTGGATTTTTTTATTATTTGCTTAGATAGAACAAAAAAACTTTTCCCTTCTGAGATACGCTGCGAAGACTTACGGTTGTTTTCTGAAAAATTTTTAATTCCGAATCCTTGAAATAAAAATGGAAATAAGGAGGCTAGCAGTTGGTAGCACTTGGGCTAGAAGAATTAGTTACTATTGGACTAATGCAATCAATGAAAAGAGAATAAATGAAGAAAGTTAGGTAAGCCACTTATAGGAAGCTTTCTTTAGTCTAATAGTTTCCCCACTATAGCGCAAATAAACTCTTGGAAACATTATCTTCAGGAAACAATGCCTAAACGAAGAGAATCAACATTACACTTTAAGAATCTCTTGACCACATGAATCATAAACCGAAAAGAGAGATCGAGAGAGAATAATTTTATACTTGAGAGATTGAATGTAAAAGTGTTTTGAAATGAACGATTATAGAAGTATTTATAAGCTTTAAAAGATGTTTGAAACACCTCTTCATGAACATATATGACTTGAACAAAGAATCATCACTTTTGGAATAAAACATATCCCACAGACATATTTTTTGAATTCCAGATAGGGAAGCATTATTCTTCTACACTAATACATACTACATGAATTCTAAACTTTGAAATCTTATAAAAACACTTAAAACACTTCAGAAAAGCTACTTTATTTGGTAATATGTACAATAGTCATGACTCAAGAGAAAGCTTAGCTAAACTCTAAAATAGTAACATCCCCTCAAAACAGGCCTCTATTTAAGCT